GGCTTATTATTTGAATGAGTAATGTCTTCAGGGGCGGCTGCTACAAATTCTTAAATTGTTTTCCACAGCGGCGGCGCCGGTTGATATTTGCAAGTCCTTATGAGACGGTGGCGGCTGAGTAAAAAATTCGCTGATGAAAATTAAAAGAAAAATGTTCGATTCGATTGCATATGTATTGATGTCAGCGGCGGTGGATGACGCTATCAAAATGTTTTATCTCTTCCAGCGGCGGCACCCCAAAAATTCTTAAAGTTACCAGCAATTTGGTGGCGGCGGCGGCGGCGGCGGCGACTGATATTATAGAAAACTCGACTGCTGCGGCGGCTCAGCCGCACGGCTGACACCTCTAAACATAGCGCCTTATTTTCACCAATATCACATAAAGAAAAAAAGATAAATTTTCATTGTGCAAAAACAAAATACTTTAGCCATTTATTTTGAATTGCCCTACAAATTGTTTGTCTAAATATATATCGCTAATACTTTAGTGTCAACAAATTCCATTAACCATCGATAATTTTCTTCTTGTTGTTCGAACAACTGATTCCAAAGCTGAGTTGGCAACATTATTAGAACGGCTTGATGTCGAAACTGGTCGTTGGCGTTCAAAAGACACTGGAGGAGAAAATGGTAAATGGCATTTTATTGATGCATATATTAGTTGTTGCTTTTTTTCTTAATTTACTAATGATTTTATTTTGTAGACGCTGACATTCGTTCTACATTGAATAGTTATCAATATTTAAAAAAACTACTTCATGATCGACTAGATTTACAAAATCGATCAGATTCAATTGTATCTGTTAGTGTTTGGTTTTTTTTTAAAAGATTTTATTCATGGGTAAAAAGAATTCATTTTTATTAGGATGATGATGATATTATTTTACCAAAAGTTTCCTATCGTGAATTACCGTTAGCAGAAATTTTAAACAATTGTAATGGTTTAGACTATTTTTTGAGTAAGATATTGTAAATGATTGCATTATGAAATTATGGAAGCTTCTGTATAGAATTTTTACAATCACTTGATGCTGTTGGTTATGCAAATTTTTATTTAAATGCTGAAGTAAGAATAATGCATAATGATGACCAAGAATATCTATTTTAATATGTAGGCATTTCGATGTGCTGGTGCATCAGCATCACAGCAACATGCTAGAGCGACTGTTGAACAGCAACAAACAAATCAAGAAATACTTCGAAATATGGCGAAAGATCTCATTGAACAATATTTTCTTTCAACAGTAAGTGTTAAATGTTTAGTACAGTTATAAGAATTTCATTGATATATTCAAGATGAATTTTTTTTGTAGAGAAATTTACTTTGAACAATAAGTTGAATCGAAGGGTATACTTAGAATTTGTATAGTAGCTTACCGTTTATTTGATCATTTAGAATAGGGAATTCTAGAGTTAGTGAATAAAAACCGATGCACTGAAACGAATACTTTTGCATTAAGAAATAAGGCATGAAATCGATAACATCAGAAGGAGATTTTGTAAAAACTTTCTTACGAGTTAAGAGTTTTAATATGATGTGTAACATTACTTAGCAGATTAAGAAATCAACTTTATGTATTCGACCTCTAACTATGTCCGATTCAAGCAAGGAATGAAAATGTTTCTACGAATAGAACGATTCTATGCTGTTGATGAGAACGAAACTTTTCGATACATTTCAATACCTTTCATAAGTGAGAATTTGAACTTATGAATTTCAAATACATGAGCTCTACTCATATTATTTCTGAGTTTGATTGCAAAACTATTGAAAATAAGTTATTTTAATATTGAGTTAACTATAAATGTTCACTATAGATATTTAGATATATCATTGTATGAGAGCTGTGTGACATCGTGGTAAGATAAATTGAAAATATAGATTAGAAATGTGAAATTCGCAGAAGAAATTTTTCATTTGTAACTGACTTCTCTTCCGTTTTGCTTACTATACTTACCTCATGAAAATTGCTCAAAGAAAAATCAATCTCACACTTGTCGATTATTAACATAAATTTGATTGATTTTAAATTATTCTAGGGAGCATTTAAATTACCTATGGATGAAAATTTAATAAAAAAGGCATTACAAAATTTAAATTCAGACGCTATGGATGAGACATTACTTGATGAACTTCAAGCAAAAGTATGGCACAGATAGTTTTCTTCTAAATTATATTTAATAAATTGTTAATTTTTCGAAGGTATTCGAGATTCTTTTATCTGATAAGTATTATGGTCAGTTTAAAACAACAACGCAGTATCTAAAAGTATTAAGCGAGTTTGAATTCACCGATTCACTGAATGATAATTCAGGTTAGTTTTTCTTTTTTTCTAAATAAAAAAAATCATTTTGTTCCTTTTTAAAAATGAAGATGCTGTATCTCTATCAAGTAATAATAGTAATGAGACATACAATGATTCCACTGAATCACAACAACAGTCAAGTTCTGGAACAACTTCGGATCGTGGAAATCCTGTAATATTTGATGTACTTGATAATATTGAAAGTTATTCAATTACTACTGAAATAAATGATTCCGGTAAGTTTTGATTCATCTAGTAACTTCATCTAAATATATATTTCTTCTTCTTCTTCTTCTTCTTCATTTTCTCTAAGGTATTTGTTGTGAAAAAGGTGACAAATATGCAATCTATGTGATATCTGTATTTTGTAAACCATTAAATTCGACTGATGATGAAGAACGACGTGAATGGATAACCTATCGTCGTTATAGTGAATTCAATGATCTTAATATGACAATAAAAAAACGTTTCCCTAATCTAAAACAGCATATTCATTTACCAAATAAAGGTTTTATGAATAATACAAGTTCAGAAGTACGTTTAAAACGTCAAAAAGAGTTGAACGATTATTTAACAGTAAGTCTATCTTCTTCTTCTTCTTCTTTTTATTATTTGTATCATTTCTATTCAGGAATTAACCAATCCAAAAGTTATTCAACATAATCAAGGCCTTGGAGAACTTATATATAAATTTTTACGCAATCAACAATGGAAACTTGAACAAACAGAATTAGCTCGAAAGGTAAAACTCGAAAATAAATCTCTCATCTAGCGAATAACATCAATATTCACCAAGTAGTCATAGATGTCAAGATTGAAGAAACGACATTCGTTCTACTGGCTAGCTTTGCAATGATGGTTCATTTTTGTTTTTAGGCTTAGTTCATTGATAAATAGGCCAACTATGAAACCGTTCTTTTTTTCATGAATTAGAATTCATTATGCACGTGCAACTTTTCTTCAGAACACACTGTTTTGATTCTAAACAATACAAGTATTGCAAAAATTAGATTTTTGTCTAATAAGTGCAAAATAAAATTGATCAAGTGATATGATACTAAGGATTTTACTCAGAGATATTAGATTCGCTGCATTGTACCTTATGTCAAACAAGATGCTAAGAATAATTTTTAGATAATCAGTAGTCCATGAGAAGTAAATGCAAAATGATTTGATGTTCCTAACCAACATACATCTGCGGTTTTACTTATTGATTTTTATCTTATAGGATTTTTTCAGTACTACGGTTTGTTTTTCTTTGTCTCTAGTATTCTAATACTAACATTCATTTTGCACAAGTTTACAATGAAAAAAAGTTTCCTTTGTATTACTGTGTTGTCACGATTGGTTTTTTTCTTTTTGTTTTCTGTTGCTATTTTAATAAACAATTTTTTTTAATTGTTACGTAGATGGATACAATTGCAAATCCGTTTAAACAAGCATCCATTGGCATTGTTAAAGGTGTATCAAAAATAGGTGGTGGGTTAACAATAGTTTCAGATAGTGTTGTTGAAAATGCTGGAAAAATCTTTCGAACAAATGGAAACAATAATAATAATCGCATGAACATTAATTTGAGTAAAGATATGCAAACATTTTCTATTGTTGAGGAAACGCAAGCTGATGTAATATATAGATTCATATTTTTTATCTGTTCGCAAAACAGAATACTTGTTTTTTTTATTCAGAGTGCAAAAAATATTCCACTACGTGTACTTCTTGTTATAATGGATGAAGTATTTGATCTGAAACAAAAAAATATGTGGTTTCGTTCAAGATTTGTATCGATTTTAAAACGATTTTTACGAGCATTTATGGGTGACTCAGTTAATCGGTATGTGCCATTTCTTTTCATTTTATATTTCAATTTTTTCTTCTATTAGACGTATTGCAACGTTTGTGCAACATTGGACATCAGCAAAGAAAATTGCGAAAGAAATAAGACGATTCAAGTTAGAGGCGAAAAAGTTTTTTTAAATGTAAATAATTTGAACGATTTTGTTTTCTAGAGAGAATTTTTGGCCGAATAGTATTCAAGCAGATAAATCACCCGAACGCGATTTTGGTGTTCGTAATATAACTCAAGTAATATGTAAAGCTAAACTACTTGGCATTGTCTCAGGTAAATAAGCTATTTTAATAACTAATGACTTGTAAAGAAAAATGTGATACGACTTTAAGAAATCAAAATTTAATCTATCGATGTAGATATTATTTTAATTGTTAACTTTAAATTTTGGTTTAATTAGAAAGATTTTGTCTGATATGAAATTCTGTTTATCCGTAGATTTTAATAGTCATGAGAAAATTCTGTATGTGTCAAAGAATTAATGAACTTAATAATTCTATGGTCTCATTACAATGATCATAGATGTTTGTCAGATGATCATGAGCTCGAGTCTCTTGAAGATTATTGCTTACGAGTTTTTGGTTCTATAGAACAATTTTTCTATAATAGTTTCTTGTTTTGTTCTACCGTTTTAAGGTTTTCTATGAAAACCGAACAGATTACTAGGTTTAGAAACATTTTTTAGATTGATATTGATGATTTTATGCATTGAAATCAAAGTATGCACATAGATCACTAGTGAAGAATCATGTCAGAAAAGCACTTACAAAGAGCTTATTGAAGAATATCACATTCATTCAAAGAAAAAATATACATCAATAATCTCTAGTGACATGTTGATTTAACAACCATTAGGCATTTATTTCTAGATTATTGTTCTTCTAAAGCATTGTATAATACATGAAATCATCTACAATTGACTTTGGTCAATGCGTACTGAGTAATAGCACAATAAGACTCTATTGACTCATTTGAAAAGTTTGATATTATCAAAATATTCATTTCATTTCATATCAAAATAGATAATTTACTAAACATGTTACGTTGTTTTTAAATGATTATTTTCGTTAAATATCTTTTCAGTTAAGTGTATTAAAATGAAATAAATCATTTTTATTTTTTATCTTAGACGAACTTCGTCATATAGTTGGTAGTGAAACAACTCGTCGGGGTTTGCTACGTTTATTTGAATTGTTACAAAATGACACTCTTAATCGTCGATTCGTTTACATTGTTATTGAAGCTCTTTTAATCAAATTATTTCGACCCAATGATTTACATTTAATTTTTGAAAAACTGTATTCTCAATCACGCCGTGTCAAAGAAGAATTTCGAAGACGAATATTTGAACAGAAAAATAATAGTACTGGTGTTATCGTAAATCATCATCATTACGGCGAATCTACTCAACGACCCTATTATTTAAATCGTTTATCGGTACGTAATGATGATAGTACGACTTTTCAAAGAGCAAATAGTGCTCAACAGCAAACAACGCTATCAAGAAGTCTATCGAAAATATCAAGATAATTTAATTTTCTTCCGGTGATTTTATTTCCGTCCATCTGAATAATCCCACTAACATTATATATATATATATATATAAATACATGAATAGCACTAATAATTTAATTTTTTATAACGTGTCTGATAAATATTCTTTTTCTCTTTCACTATGTATATTTATCTTGTATGCTCGCTTTTCTTTTGCTATCCGTAGCAGTGTGGTTTGATAACAAGTTGCCTATTTGTGTATCTATTACTCTTCGTATTTCGAGATGAATAATATTCCAGTGAGGAAAAAACATTTCTTATATTAATTTTATTTCTTATTTTAGTGAGAGAAATATTCATAAATAAAATATAGTCTCCAGTACTTGATTTTATGAGTCAATACTCTTTTTTTGCATGAAAACGAAAACTAGTGATCTAAAACATATGAAAAAGATGAATATTCAATTTATTGTTTTAATAATTAGTTTAGTATTCAATATCAATATTGAACAACTCAGGTTTTTTTTGTTTATTTTTAACAGTATACAAGAAGAAAATTATTAGTAGGGTCATACTTTATTATACTATGCAACGGAAAATATTTAATTCAAACACATGAATTTGTAATTAACGTTATTTCATGCTTCGTGTGAAAACTGTCAGTGTGTATTTTATTTTCAGATTCTTTTGACGCATTTACTCATATAGGAGTGGCGTTGGCTACAAATAGGCAGAGTACCTGTAGCACTGTAATATGTAGCATTTTAAATATTTGTAAATGTCTGATAGGTCTGCTGATTAAGACATGAAAAGTTTTGTATGATACCTGAATCGCAGTGATAACCGTCTACATCGCTGCAACCAGAGGATTAAACAGGGAAATCCTATTTGAACTTAAAATTATAAAAAAAAAGCTTTATGAGCCATTAAAACGTCAAATCAAAAGTTTTTGTAAACTTTATATGGTACTTCCGCCAAGGATAGCGCCTTTTAGATTCATTTGTTGGCATGACAACTTAGATACTTGACCCTCATTTCTAGTGTCACAAATGACGAGATAGACACAGACATGTAGCTAGACGCGTAGGAATTGTATCATCGATAAATTACTCAGTTGTCAATGTCAATAATTATTTAGTTCTTTTTGTTTCTGTAAGACAGTTTGGACAAAGAAAATTTTGCATTTTCTTTGGCAGTATTGGGAAACGAAGCAGACTAAATCTGCCCGAAGAAGAATCTTAGTGTTGTTGTTGCTATATCATGTTTTTTTCAAGAAACCAGATAAGTAGTTTCGAATAAATTATCTCAATAAGTGACTAAATAATTAAAAATTTTGTACTGGTCGAATGCCTTTGAGTCTTATATAAATTGATTATTAATGTGTTGAAAGCAAAATTTAAGAAGTTATAAAGAACATAAGTTCATTTTGACACACTTGTCTCAAGTTTACTAGACCGTCAACCAATTTCATGTTACGATTTTAAAAAGGAAAGGTTAGAAGATATCGACTGATCTTCTATATATATACATATACTCTAGTGAATATTACTAGAATATGTTAATAGCATTAGTTGATAACGATTAACTAGTATTGCTGCAAAGAGACCAGCCAGAAATACACGTGAATACTTGTTGTTACTATCTCGACTTCTATCAGATCTCTTGGACATGCATGTTTATATAATGAATTTATTATATTTAATTAAACTTGGTTTTTTCATATCTATATTGGACACACTTCTTACAATATGGTCGATATAATCAATCTCGATCATAGAATGTTGTTCTTGATATAATTGAGTAGTTAAAATATATGATTTCAAATGCAGGAAAAAGTTGACTCAACCTTTATAAATAATGCAAAGCAAGATAATTATTGTTCGATTTAATGTCTTGTCTGATTTTTTTATAGCTAAATCTTGTCTAGTCTTTATTTCTTTTTTATATAAACTAATGACAATTTGATATACTACATTTATTTTAACAATTAGAATTCTCATACATCTCAGGTGAACAGCAAATTCTAATCTTACTCGAGATTATGTCCTAATCTATTAGTTCTATTAGCTTATTCTTATTTGTGAAAGAATCTAGAAATGAAAACATCAATTACAATTTTACATGCATTCAAGTAAAAACAGTTTACACATGATTACTTTGTCACTAAATTTTAAGAACTATTCGTGCATTATCCAATAAATACTCTATTTTTCATAGTCTGGAAAAGAAATAACAGACTATGTCGTTTACATAGAGAAATCATTCATTTAAATTATCAAAACAATCGAAAAGAATAAAATGCATAAGGTTTTCTGCAACTCAATGTTTAATACCTTGGCTATTTTATCGTTGCTTATTCTTTTGATTCGTATGCATAATGTTTTCTTTGTGTAAATTATGATGCAATTCTATTAGCTTCACCAATGTAGTTTGACCTTGTTGAGATACATATATTGAATGGTTTATCAATAGGAATCGATGTTACAAAGCTTATTGTAGAAATCAATATAACTTGAACAAATTATTCTCATAAACTTCTGTTTTTCTTTTATATCTAATTAAAATAGAAAATGATTCGTATACATATTTTTCTTGTGATAGCAATATTGAATTGGCAATCGCTTGCATTTATTGTTTGATTAAGTTAAGATATTCAATTAATAGATATGCAGAAGAGAGACGATCGTTATTAAAAATTCCTTGACATTCTACTTTGTGTATTCAAGGACTGAAGAAGTCTTAGGTTGCAGATAAATCAGCGAGATATTTGAGATTTATTCTATCACTTCAAAAGTTTATTTAGATAGAGAAGTCATAGATGATAAACAAATCAATCTATATTCATCACACCATCCAATGAATATTTCTTTGGACAAAATATATTTCCAAATATAAAACTTGGTATCTTTTATCATTCATTAGAATAATTAAAAAACTGAGATTGCTTCCAAAAAAAGGATAGATTACTGTTTCAACTATAAAGAAATATCTTTCAAAAACCGAAGCTCAATGCTCTTATGCAACAAAACGGTAATTTATAATAGGAATAATAATAATAATAACAACAAGAACAAGAACATCACATCGAAAACTGGTTAGAATTCCCGTCTATAGAAATGTACTGTCATAAATGAATCCATCGCAATAACTTAATCGCAACTAAGTATACGCCTACGTTCTTATCAATACGCCTACTTAATAGAAAGATAAAAACGTCCTTGATGATATTCGACAGCAAAGCAAACGTGATTGAATATCTAAACTAGCAAAATCTTTACGGTGAATAATGGAAAAAAAGCAAGTCGATTTATCGAATGGCTGGATATTTGTCACGACGACTTTATAATATGATACAATTTTTTTCTTTCTTTATATTTTCAAAAAACCTGAGATAAACATCATTTACTAAGTATAGGATAATCTTATTTACGTTGATATGTACTATTTCGAGTTCTTCTTTTTTTTTCCCTATTGCTCTACTGTTATTACTATCTAGTTGCCTCTTTTCTTGGCCATGAATAGGCATATATAACAACTGACTTTCCAATCATCATCGGATATTGCGGCTGCATCCAAGCGAGAATGAGAAAAAAAGAGGGATACAGAACAAGAAAATTGTCTCCGTATTTTTAGGACTAGAAATACACACATACAAATATGCATATACATATACACGATTCTTCTTTCATTCGCCATCGTTTTTTTCCGCTGATGTTGTTATTTGTCTTTAGTAGGCATAATATAAAAGATCAGACTAAACGTTAATGCCTTTTATTTTCTTCATACGTGTTCTTTGCCATAATCGAGCCTGTTTATTTTTTTCTTGTGTGATAGTATTAAGAACCAAGGAGCCAAATAGACGGAGACAGGGACCGAGACAGAGATACGGATAGATAGAAGAAGAAGAAAACCATAAATCTCAAAACAACACAACAACTATTGTCGCTATCTTTGTAATCGTGTTGGTATCTAATAAGTAACAGAGAAAAAAGCGAGAGAGTAAAAGAGTTTTCTTGGAAAACAATAACCGAGTGTAAGTATCAGTTAAGACGATATTAAATAGAAGAACAGAAAATGCCATATATACGTATATTCAACTCGGTAGCAGTAATTCATTTTTTTTTGTAGATACGTGTCTGACAATAAAAGAGCAATTGTTCAGGCTCAATCAGTCGCTTCTGTTCATTCCATTTATTAGCTTTTTCTTCCTTTGTTTTTGGACTCGATTACGTAGTAACTTTATATCTTAAACAATAATGCTGTTTATACTATTCTGTAGATATATCTTAATAGAATCATAATATAAAAATGCGTTCATCTTACGATACATATTCATCATCAACGTCAAACTCCACTTATAGAAGTCCATCAAGCCATTTGGACTTTACTCCAATATCTCATGGAAGTGATCGAGCAGAATTTCACGATCGTTATCAAAACCGAGTAAAAACAAAATGAATTGTTTTGCAAAATAACTAGTTTTCTATTTTCTAGTATGCATGGTTAGAAAAAAATCATGTTAATGATGTTGGTTCACAATATAAATCATTAGGTAAACAAGTTGACCATAAACCATCAACATGGAGATGCGAAGATCAAGCGGAAGCTGGAAAGTAAGATCAATTTTCTATTGATCTATTACAAAACTATTATCTTTTTCTTAAGAGAATTTTTACGCATAAATGATGAATGTGCTGATAAAATCTATGACATTCGTGAACGCAGTGACATATCACGTGAATTTCTTCTTAACTCGGATGGTGTTGCAACACGATTCTATCAATTAGAAGCCGATGCCGTTAGTTATTCTTACAATCATATTTTTCTTCTATTATTATTTTAAAATTAATTCTTTCTAATTTTAGTTAAAAAATCGTTATGAATTAAATAACATGAAACGTAAATTAGATGGTATTAAACAATTACGTGCTCGTTTGTTTAAATAAATTAATTTCTACAACAAAATAACTTTAGCCTATTAATTCTTTTATTTTGTATCTATCAATTGCTGGTGAAAAACGAACACAAACAATAAAAATAGCACACTAATACTTGGAAATCGATTCAATATTATTTGTTCTTTCTTTTTCTTTCTTTTTTCGGTTTATTTTTTACCTTTCTGATCTAACCCTCTACATACATGCGTGGTCAACAATCATAATCGAACAAAGAAATGTTATCACCGTTTGATTGTTTGTATTTGTCGAACCATTTTTTCTTTTATGTCATTATTTCGAATGGAAGATAATAGCACATATAAATCTTTACCATGCACAGATTCAAATAAATAACATAGTTCAACCCTTGAATAGATCGTATGATTCTGTGCTCATGTATTATTAACACGAAAACAAAACAACGATTGTTATAATTGATAGAATTTAAGGAAGAAAGTATGATAGAATCGTTAGAATTTGTTTTCATTGAGAAAAATGATTAACTATGTTTTACTATTATGATAATTTGAAGATTAGAGAAATAAGCAAATTGATAGTTTTAGTATTCATAAGAGTTAATACGTTAGTGTCAATTGTCTTGCTCTACAATGATATGTGACAAAATAATATTTTGCAATAGGTCTTTCTCAAGATACTATTAAGGGCGTAGAATTTGTATTAATTTTTGCCTTTTTTTGATACAGCACTACAATCCGATATGGTAGAGACTTAATGTTTTCCTTTTTTTGGTAGAAAAAAACAAAATGTTTAGTACAAAAATATCGATGAAAAGATATTGTTAGAGATGTTCTCTCAAGACCAATAAAGCGTTAGAACAAAATGTACCATAAAATTCGTTAATAATTTTGACTAGAATATTCTTATACGAATATTTTTGTTCGATTTTATTTTTCATTGTTGACAATATGAATGCGTTTTCCAGCATAGCATATGTAGATCATAACATGTATACAATTGAAAGATGAAGAGAGAACGTAAGAGAGAATGATTCAAATTTCTTTTCTTTTCTGATTAAACAACGCAAGAAATTGTCGGTATGCAAGAGATTAATTATTTTTCAAATTATAAGTTAATAATGATGTCATTGCTAAAATTTAAAAAGAATTATTCATAAATATCCAATAGCTTATTAGAATATATGCGACTTTTATTATACGACATCAATATTTGTATACAATGTTCATAAGTGCACACTTATTAATAGGAAAATAGATGACAGTAACTATTCTATCGTTTCTAGTGATATAATGGGCCACCTTTACAGTTAGATACATCGAAAATGAATAAACTACATTTCAGACTGAAAATATCTGGTAAATGTCCTCATCGGATTGACTCACGTATATATTTCATTTTTTTTTGTAAGGCATCTTTTGTTAAAATAGTTGATCATCAGTGACTGGCTATCGTCTAGACAATGTTCGCCAAACATTATATAATTATGCGTCTGTTCTATTTTCAGGTAGACATATTGTATTGACAATGAATTGTTCATCAAGTATGAGTATGTATAACTTTTTGATAATGTTGTTTGTTTTTAATATTTTTCTCTACAGAAGATCGCATTGAGCTGGTCGATTTATCTGATGAGTTAATTTTAATTATTATGAACAAAGTCAAACCTAAAGTGTTATTGCTTTGTTCTATTATTACTGTTGGTAATAATCGTTTAGAAGAACTTGCACTTGATAAATGTCATTCAATTGATTTAACTTTTGATTATTTTCGATCACCATATCAAAATCTTATTCAACGTTTTTATTCACATGTTTTGCCTTGTATCATTAATAATGTTCAATCATTAACCTTGAACATTCAACATATTCCAAACATTAGTACTTTTGCTGAAAGAAATTCTAATGAAATTCTTCCAAATTTGACACATTTGAAAATAATGATGGGTAGAAAACGGTCTATAACAGGCACGCCTTATATATTAGGTAAACTATTATGAAGTATGATTTTTTAAGCTATGATTCGATATCCCTTTAGTTCAATTTCAGCATATAAAGTTTAAAACATACTTGACAAATATTTACTTGAGAAAGATATAACCGAGCAAATAAAAATATATATATATATTTATACAGTACTTTGTTTCCATTTCAACCAATATTATAGTCAAGTTTCCATAAACTTCAGTTGAAGACGAATTTCAATCTCATACTCGTCACAGTGAAATCCAGTAAGTGTCCAGTTAGGTTGGTTTTATTATGTGCGGATAAGTTTTAATCGACATTGGTTTAGATTTAATTGTTATATTTAACGCATGAATATCAAAATGAGATAAACTTCCACAGCATAGAAGTTTAGCGTCGAAATTATAATTCTCCGAGACAAATAGAGGATCATTTTACATAAAGTTAGCACAAATTAATGAAAAGTACAAAAGTACGCATATTTCTATTAATTAGCGAAAAAACTGATCTCGATGCAAGCCTATTAGAAAACTTATAGTTTGTAGAACAAAGACATCCTCGTCCATGGATGTCTAAGTCTAATTGGTGTTGGTGAGGAAAGGAGGAAGTGCTAATAAAACTATGAGCATATCCTAAAGAATGGGCCTCTCAGTCATTCAATTCCTTCTCTTAAGTTTTCAGCGTTCGATAAAAATTCTTTTTGTATAACTTCTAGCGACAGAGTTTAACAGTTGGTATCATAAAAGTACGTTTCCTCGGCGGACATACCAACAAAGAGATGGGGGAGTAGAGGCTGATCTCAAAAAAAATTTCGCCCGTGCGCGCGATGTACGTCTTTGGACAATTTAGAGAGATGAATAATGAATTTACTACATCATTTTCTAAATTTCTTATAAAAACTATAGTTGTTGAAAATATCGAAAATTGAAAAATATTATATTGTAACATTTGTATATATAATTAGGTAACAATCTTTATGGTATTTCAAGGTATAATCCTCTCTTCTCAAATATACCTCAATTTGTTATTATGGATAAGAGCAAATCTGGTTGCATCCTATCTACACTTCTTTGCTCATCGGTTATGCGTTCCATTGTATCGTTCGAACTGGATGATGATTGTATTTTACTAAATATATTTAATGGTGATAGTTTATTTTTCCATGAATTAATTCATCTAACTCATATCCGAATAACATTATTTCAATTTGACCATTGTATTTGTTTACTTAATCGATTACGCTCACGATTATGTTCGTTCACTGTGAACATTATGTTTGTTTCTTTAGCAAATGTTGGGATTTTATCTGAAATTTAATCGGTAAATAATATTTATTAATTTAAAATCTGATTGAAGTTATTGATTTAGATTTCATGTCCCAATTCGAAACAATTGTCAATAACAATCTATCGTACTATTACTTACTATGAGGAGTGTTTTCTTCCTGCTCTACAACGTTTATCCAATGTCGAATATTTAACATTATTATTAGTTATTGGTTTCGAAGGAATTTGACCCAACCATTTTATTGATGGATTTGATTTGGAGAAAAATATTATTTCATATATGCCTTATTTACATCAATTTCATTTTCCTATTCGTTCAATATTAAAAAACCTTCTCATGTAGAAATCGATACGCTTCGTCAAAGTTTTATTAAACATCAACAACAATCTGTTGATTGTGTAATCGATTATTTCAGTGATAAATATGATCAATGTCAAATCTATTCACTTCCATTTATAGGTACTCGTCTTGATTTTATTTCAAATCGATTTCCACTCTTTGATACTAATAGGACATTCGCAATGGTTACCAAGTCGTTACTTTTCGATGATATTCAACCGTTCGAAAGTGATTTCTTTGAACATGTCTCTCAAGCTTTACCTCAGCTTAGAACACTCGACGTACTCAATGGGCTTGAACAACAAGAGAAAATAAAAACAACGACAAATAATCTTGAATTTACTAATTTAATTACTCGGGTTTTATTCGACATTCATTTGGATTACGCTAAACAATTGCTTTGTCGAACTCATCGTCCTTGTCTAGTTGAACTTGCTATTGATAATGATATATTATTAAAAATAATCACTCAAGATCAACAACAAACAAAAGATAATTGTTCTAGAGTAGAAACTCTACGAACTTGGAAACCATTGTATCATTCAGCAGATGTACTGCAAGACTTTTCCACCGTATTCCTATGTCAAACATCCGGACGAAGAAAAGATGAAAAATCAATGATTTATGTAAAAGTATCAACTATTTCTTTTATTACAATTTTTCTAAGAGTCAACTGAATAGAACTATTGTAAAGATCTGTACTGATTTAAATATAAGGCCAAGAAAAATTAGTTTTTATTTTGTCAGATAAATAGGAGAAGAAAACATTAATCTTATCGCTTATTTCATTAATGATATATGAGATGATTTTTAGTAATGCAAGACAAGAATCAATTGGCTATGAATAATAATTGAAGTCTGGTGGGAGAAAAATCCATGGATTTTTCTCGTGACAATTACAAAATGTTCATTTGCATTTATACATCATTTCATGTCGTGGATTTCAATCGTTTATATTTTAATAAAATAAAGCAAATATTTGAATATTTTAGCTTCTGCGAACAATTAAATATGAGAAGATTAGCTAAAATATGTTTCGGGCGTAAAATTTAAAAAATATCGAAATAGTCCAATTCATGCACTACTAGATTCAAGGACGAAAACGCAATGTAAATTATATGAGCATTGCTTGAGATATGACATAGCAATCTATCTTTTTGTAATGCTAAAGTCTTGCTGAATCGCTTATGCAAATCACGATTGTGTAGGACTGAATCGATGCAATATTCGTTAGATATCGATAGAAAAAGTTTGTTATTTTCAAAGTTTGTTTAAACAAATTTTGATAGACGAAAAGATTGACATTGCACTGGTTAATTTGCAGCGGTTTTTAAAACGAATATTGATGATGTCAGATCAAAAAGTGCTTTTTGAGCGTTCCAAAAAGGAAAAATGCTCAAGATCTCTTATTATTCGACTAATTTTGAAAAAACTCTGGTATACCTAATCAGCACGCACACTGCTTTATCCACGTATAAAGATTGTAAATAAAATAAATACAAATATATATATATACGCATATCTACATATATAATGTTCAGTGTGGGCTTGTGTTGGGTCAAAGGTTCAGTGTTAAAGATCGTAAGGTTATAAATGGATAAGACTAGAGGGGGAGGAGTTAAAGCTACAATAGTATAAGGTTATAAGGTTTATCTCTCTATATATAATGCGAAGTGTCTGACTGTTTGTTATTGGGTCAAGATTGAAACATAGATATGAAACTTTACAGAAAAAAAACAGCCATGCAATATGTACGAAATCTCTCTAGTATATATTTTGTGACCGAAGTTAGAATTCAGTCCAATTCTAACTTCGGCCACAACATATGTATACAGTCCTGGACAATATTTTTTGGAGGATTTTGTTTTGCGTATAACTCCCTCATAGTGTTGTCTTTTGACGAGTGGTTTTCGTCAAAAGTACAGTTCATGTCGATATGATGTCCACAGAAAATCTCAACCCTCTACGTTGAATTATAGTGAAACTGGACGTATAATAAATTGTATGACTCAACTTTCGCTCAACGACTTGTTTTGGACGATCTTCTAAATTGAATTATTCTCTTCACATAAATTAGAAACAATTGAATTGACATAAACAGAAAGAGAGGAAGACGAGCTACTTTTCGGTATCAAGACTTTTTTTAAATAATTTTTCTATGAGATTTTATGATACCAATGAAATCTACTGTCTTGAGTTAGATCGATTAGCTATCAACAAAAATTTTTATCAAGATAGATTACAATTAAATTTATAATTTTAACAAATGAGTATGAAATGTGTTAATAAAATAGTCAGTATTTCAGAATGATGGATACACCTTGCTTAAGTAGGCTCTAATAAGGACCTCGAATTCACTAGACTACTATAATCTTGCTTACTCTATATTTAGAAATCGTAGATCATTATTTTTTCTTATCTTTGAGTGTCTTGAATAAATATTTTTTTCTTTCAGTATAAGACCAATTAATTTCATCAAAGCCAATTGATGTTTAAATATATCTGAATTCATTAATAGAGTTCTTACAGTTGACTTCCATGTTACTTGTTAACGACATGTTGATATTTTTATCCTTATTATTTACCTAAATTCACAAATCTAATTGTTTTGGTGGAATTACTAATAGTGCAAATATTTTATCGTAGAATTTAACAAGAAACAACTAAGACAAAATAATGCATCTAACGTGGCTTCGTGTATGATTCATTAGAAGTTTTTCTTCTCTTGTTTATCCTTGAGATCTAGATTCAATTTAATAAAGCCAACACTGATTACTTTTGTTATTCATTACGTTTAACTTCATGTTCCCGTAAGTATTTTGTTATTTACGATGAACTTAATAAAAAAAAATGAGAAGCAATCATGTGACCAATTACTTCTTCTCATAGTTTGAGAAAATAGAACCTATAACAAAGTTTCCTTTGATGGTAAGACAAAAACACAAAATATACTCATGTTTTCTGCTCTATAAGCATCTATGATCTGGATAAAGTGTTTTTTTTCCACCGAGAACGTCTTCGATTATATATTTCGCTCCTTTGATGTTGATCGTAGTGTTCTTCTATCTTTTGAGATCACTTTACTGAGTTTTCTTAATCAAGAGATTTTACTTAGCATGCGGTGCAAAAGTCTTTGCAATAATGTCACACGCTGTTAGACCATGTTGGAGACTTCTAGTTCAGGTGATTTTTTTTCTTGTTGGAAAGAGCCGTGTCTGAACTTCAAATTGTGTGTCAAACATATTTTTCTAGGACAAATCTGGAAATGAGGAAAGGCAAAAACTAAACGTATGAAAAAAAGTTCTTGCAACTTCACCATCCAGCAGTATCATTTTCTATTTCTATTGAATTCTTTTAAAGTGAAACAGAGAATGAATAAATCACCATCAATGATGATTTTTGTAGCATAAAGGATGCTCTTTCCAATGGTTTATTGAAAGTTAAATTTAGTGTTAGTTTTTATACTGAAATATTGCTTTTTTCGAGAGAGCCTGATAAATTTGGTCATTCTCACAATGTAACCATTTTGAAACTGCAAAAGATATTTGTTAAGTTATTTTTGCTGTCAAGCTTCTAAGGTCTGATATATTTCGTATAAATAAAGCGAAAAAATAGAGTTCATGCATGATTCCTAGTAGATATTCTTGAAATCTTCCACAAGCTGGTATCGATAGAGCTTTTGAAACTCTACATTGTGGTTTATATTTTGTTAAAATTCTACTCATGTAGTTTAAGATGTTTTTGAAACACCAATTTTTCCAGGTTGCAAAAACTTTTTTCGATGCGTTTAGTTTTTGGCTTTTCCTCATTTCCAGATTAGTCCGACAAAAATGTTTGGCAAAAAAATTGAAGTTCACACACTGCTCTTTCCAACAAGAAACAAGTCAACTGAATTAGAAGTCTCCAACATGGTCTAACAGTGTTTGACATTATTCCAAAGATTTTGGCACCGCATGCTATTATACGTGAATGAAATTTTGAGATTTTCTGAAAAAAATCGACTTCTTTCAGTAGCATACGATTGACAATTTATATGTTGTTAGTATCTAAGACTGCACAAAAGAGTTGATATCTATCAATGGGTATGAGTAAGAACAGTGAATTTTTGAAAAGATTATCTGAGAAAGCTCTAAGGATGGGCGAGTCCGAATCATGACTCGGGTTCGAGAATTTAGTAAAGATGACTCGACTGTTTGCCTCGAATAATTGATTCAAAAAAATTCATTTTTTCATTAAAAAAGAATTTCATTTTGATAAAATTAAACACGCATGTGTTCACAACTTTCGTTCTAATCGAATATATTTCATTTGAAAGAATTTCTAAGAGATTTTTTTCTATATCTATGTATTTATATGCTCAGAAAAAGATCGTCTTAATGGAGTATTGGATAAAATTTGTTTCCTCTTGTTTTGATGGGTGTACGTGTTTATATATGAAAATAAAAAATTCTTACTGCCAACGCTACAATTTGGTTCAAACAAAAATAGCAATGTCATTTTCAAAAAAGGAAATTCACATCCTCGTCTTAAAAATCTTGCTAGAAAAAATATGTGTGTGCCAGCTACATCTGCACCAATTGAACGTGTCTTTTCTCAAAGTGGTCTTCTACTGAGACCGAATCGTTCGCGTTTTACAGAAAATAATATCTGTGTTTTAACATCTTTGAAATGCAATAAGATATTAATTTGAATGTAACTAAATAAGTTTTTTTTGTAAGATTTAAATTAAGTTATTGTTTTTTTAAAAACGCAGTTTTTTCGTAATATTGAACTGTATCAAAACAAGAGTTGATTTTAATATTATCGTTTTTTTTCTTTAATCTGGAATAGTTGTTTTTACATATTGTAGAATGAAAACTTGCTGTTAAAGTCTTTGGTATTAGTAAAATGAAAAAAAGCCTGCTAAGAATAATTTGACTAGACTCGACTCGACTCGAAAAAAGGCTTGACTCGTCCATTCCTGGAAAGCTGAACAGTCAAAAATAGATCTGATAAATTTTTTCACGATTCAATCTAAGCTATGTGCGTTCTTTAAACGCGCATCCCTTCCCACTTACTCTTTTATTTATAGATACCTGTTGTAAGAAACATAATGACAAATGTAGAAGAGTACTCACATGAGTAAATACAAATCCTTCTTTTCAAACTTATACACTTGTAACTTCATTTGCATCTCAGAACGAAACCCTACTGAAACTCTGTCAGCAAATCAAATTTAGAACACATCAATCAAAATATATATCAATCAAGTAGTGATGACTCATTATTTGGCGACTATCAAATAATTTGTCTTTCAAAAAATAAACCAATGATATAATATTGTTCATGTTTTTATTTTTCATTATCAAATTTCATTATTTGATTTGTTCTTAATATTAAAAAAGATGTCGCTAATATCACACTAAAATAAGCACAAAGGCCTCTATACATAATGAGTGTCAATAAAAATCATGATGGCTGTTGATTCTCAACATTTCCAATGTAAAATATGGATAATGAAGTTGGATCAGCTGGAATTTCTTTTGTCAAAAGATCGTTAATTACGAGTATTGTTTATTCACTTTAGATCCTCTTCACCAGTGAAAAACGAACGTTGCCATTTCATTTCTTTGTTCATATTTCAAATTGAATAATATCAAAACAAAAGCAAAATCAATCAACATTTACTAATTTTATTTTCCTTTTCCTGCATTTTAATTAATTGAAATTCAACGTTGATTTAATAAAAAAAAGAAAAACTACGAAGTATATCCTTTTGTGCCTTTGGACAAAATGGCAGCCGGTACACATATGGCTGCAACACAACAAGCAGCTGATGATCAAGCATCTTCTCTCTATTTTTCTGGTATATGTCAAACAATATCAGTCAAATGTCAACATAGAAATGAAAATGGTTTATTAACATGTTCAAGAAATCTTTATGTTTCTTGTAAGATTTTTGTTAGTTGAATTCATGTATTTTAATTCAATGTATATTCTAGGTCCGCATTGTCATCTATTACTTTGTATTGATCATATACATGAACACGAAAACCTATTGAGATATGAAATCGAACAATTAATTAATGGTAAATAGAAGATTACGCTCTTAGTTTTCTTAGCTTATTTTATTTTTTTAATATAAATAGAAACGAATATAGTCAAAGCAAATATTCGTGCATTATTGACAACATCTCAGCAGCAACCAACATCAACAACAGCACAAGTACTAGATGAAAAACAACGTACACTATGCGAATTACTTGAACGATGGGCTACAGTTGGAAAAATTTCTATGTCACAAGCAGCACTTATACAACATCAATGCGGTTATATTAGTCAAACAACTCAACAACAAGCTGCAGCAGCATCAACGGCTGCAGCTGCTGCTGCTGCACTTGCTGTTGGCACAACAAATCATCACGTAGCTCATCATCCTTTACCTGCGCAACAAAATGGTACTGTTGCAACTAATCCAAATAAACTCCCATCACATCATCAACCACACCATACAAGTACTGCACACGCTAATCATCATCAAACTAATTCACATCATCAAGATCGATCATCACAACAATTGGCAGTTAATGCTGTTAAAAAACGACGAAGTGGCAAAAATAAAATTGTGACTTTATTAATGAAAAATGCTGAAGGAGAATATGAATGTGTAAGTTCTTTAAACAGCGATTCAGTCTACAAATGTTCGATCATAGATACTTTTTAATCAAAAAAAAAAAAAAATTCTTTTCGTTAGTAAGAACAAATCGAGACAACAAACAAATCCACAATCATCATCAACATTTGTTTTTTTATTTCATTTTTTTGCAAAAAAAAATTAGTCTTTCTTGCCATGCATCGCTTCGTATTAAATAGGATCAACATTTTTCAATATACGTTAGGAAATCATATTCGTCTTTTAGTTATTTTCTTATGTTTACAATGAAATATTAAGTTACAATTGAATGCAAAAAAGAATAGTAAATAAAAATTGTGTATGTAGAAATGTAGATTCTTTTTTGAAGATATCAGAATAAAGTTGAAGTCAACATAAAAAAGAATTATATAGATTACGTTTATTCGAGTTATCTTTCGTTTAGAGAAAAGAAAACAGAGGAGTTTGATCAAAAATGAACAGATCAAACAAAAATAGCGCTTACTTTAGGTATGAAGAGTTCTCTAGCGTTTGAGCAAACAGTTTGATATCTTCCGTACGACTAATAATAGTTGAAGCCGTTAGATAGAGGATTCAAGACAAACAGCCATCAGCAACGTGACAAAAATGATTCCAGAGCTGGTAGTCGTAGCTTTTGAGCACACTATCAAACATCGTGATTTCTTTTTTTGAAATTAGTGGAAATTATAAATTCAATATAGGAGAGTATTCATCAATAACTGTGTCCGGTAGGAATATAAAAGTAGATGTTAAGATCATATAGATTTCTGCAAGCTAGAGCAAGAGGATGAAAACTGATATAGAGTAGGATATACAGTAGAAAGAAGTCTTATTTTAAAAGACTCTAAAACCATGAACTAGGTAATATTTAGTTCGAGAGAAATGTCTCTTATATTTTCGTTACTAACGGAGTCTTCTAAAATACTATAATAAACATTTCAGAAATTTTGACTTCTCAAGGACAAGAAAGTTCTGATCACCTATATTTAAATCTAAAATTTGTATAACAGCTTGTACAACAACACATTCACAAGTTCTATTGTTTTCTTATGGATGACTCCGTATGATATGTTCTAATGAAATATTATACGAAAGAACTAATCTACTCAATTTTCCTATTTCATTTGAACTTCTCTAATAATAATCTGAAGATGAAATGAACTTTTGCACATTATATATTGTTTTTGTTTAGCCAAATATTCAATGTCGAAAATCGCTTAAATGTCAAGGAATAACGGCGCATGTAAAAGCCTGTGCTGTTGATTGGCTTAAAGAAAATGGGCAGTATCTTAATCTAAACTAATCATTATCTTCAACAGACAACGAAACGAGAGAAAAAAGAAAGAGACAAACAGAATAATGCTTTTGCTTTTCTTCTTTTTTTTTTAAAAATAGTTCGCGTATATTTCTCCACATGTAATTGATGATCACTGTAGTTTGTCTCTGTAAATAAATTCTTTTCTCTATATGTTTATGTGAGTATATCGTTTAACTTGTACACATTGACTCTATCTTTGTCTAGTTTATTCCTATTATAAACTTCAACACTGATATGTATTTCGAAAAATAAGACAAGAAAAAAAATCGAAACTTATCATTTCATATTTGTCTCTCTTTTTTTCTCTTTTTTTCGTTTATTTGTTTGCGTATGTGTATCCTCTGTAATCCCTTGTTCTCTCTCAACTTACAGATATATGTATAAGGCCGAAATGAGAGAAAATGTCTTCTTCTTTTCTTTTCTTTTTGTGTGTGTTTCTGTTGTAACAAAGTTTTCTTTTCGTATTTCTTTCGAATGCAACAGACAAAAAGCAAAAACAAAGAAAGTTTTTTGGTTCATTTTTTTCTAGATTTTGTTTTTTGATAATAAAAATGGCAAGAACGACAAGTGCAATAGTTTATTTAAGTGACGATGAAATAGAACATTTTACACTCACGCTTTGGTCAAACACTCGAACAATGTTCTAAGAGTTATTTCCGCCGGAGAAAACAATATTTGCACGTGTAAAATATTTAGTCATGCAAGTTTTGATAAAAAAAAATCATATCAACTTATCAACTTTAAATTAGTTTTATTGCATTGAATGCATTCGATTATTATAAGTTAATATCGATTGAATAAAAAGAAAAAGTCATTGATCAACAGAAAAACTTCAAATCAAGAAGAGTTTAAAGATGGACGATAGATTATTTATTGAGAAAATAAAATGATTTTTGTCAAGATGTGTTTTTGCTAGATGAATATATTCTAGCAGCGTAACTCGCTCAGTATTTGTTAAACGCTATAAAAGTATTATACTGGAGAAATAAAAGTTCATCCTACAAAATGTTTACATTTGATTTTGTAGACGATCGAACCGTTTTCTATTGATCAGATATGAATCGACTTTTGAATATAAGATCTTTTCCTGCCTATATATTCATTTTCTGGATTTCAACAAATAGCAGAAAAAAATAAAAGTAATACTGGCATATTGCTTGGAATGTTCATCTCACAGAAGAAGAAAGTAACGGCAATAATATTTAATTTACGAACGACTTTATTAGTTTGTTATTTACACTAATTGAAACATTACAAAAATGACTATGGCATCGTCGAGATGCAGAACATATCTTTAAAAAAAGCTAACGAGTCTTTTTTTCAAACTTATATTTTGTAGAAATTCTTTCAAAATCATAGAAAATAAAATCGAATCCGAGAGACATGAATCAGAATCAAACAATGAGACTAGTTAATATTGGCTTCACTAAGCAACAAGCCTTAGAACAAACGAAATTAGTAAGAAAAGTTACAAAAAGAATTCACTTTTGTAGAAGTTTGTTACGCTGTTTTGAAAAAATGATATTTAGATACTGTTATCGATTTTTAACTCAAAAAAGTACTGATAACATTGGAAAACGAAACAGATTGAAACACTCAACCTATATTCACAAAGCGATCCATTCCGTATCATTTCGAGTCATAAAAAAAATTTCTTTTTAATCAATGTATCTTTTTCTCTCAAGCAGTCTATTCAATCATTACAAGAAAGAGACTGTATCTATAATGATATAAGAAACGTTTTACTTATATGTGTGTGTGAATGATAGAAATTTAGCTGTATGGAAAAAAATCTTTATTTTTCATTTATATTTATTAATAAATTTTTAATATCAATACCTTATTACTGATGAAGAACAATAGAAGAATATAATTGATGTTAATAATGAACGAGAATTTCTTCCAAATTAAATTATACTTCGAGGTATTGTAAAAAATTTCAATATTCAACGAGCACTAAATAGCCCAAAGATATTTTTAAGTAATTAGATTTTTTAATTATAATCATTAATATTGTTTGAATGAACACCTTTCATATGGCTATGCTGCAATTATATGAAAATCCAAAGTCAGTATCAGTTTATTTAAATGTTTTTGAAATAGAAGATATGTTGCTATTGATTATTGTACTGAACGATATTCCATGAATACATCAAACAGTAATAAACTAAATAAGGGTTATCAAGATAAGTATTGGCCTACAACAACGACGAGAATAATACTGATTAAAATGGTGTATTTTTATCTTTTGCCTGTTCGGACTATAAGAAAAACAAATAACAACATATTCTGGCAGAAGAATTGCATTGACTTGTGCAAGAACAATATTTCTGACATATGGCGAAGGAAAAATGAAAAAGTTTAGATTAGTTTTGCTTGCTTTTTTCTTCGTGCAAATAACTATCGCGTATCAGGTGAGTCTTTAGTGCCATACGAATTATTTTTGTTTTTTCTTCTTATAATCAGTCAATTGAAAAATAAAGTAAAACGGAAGAGACATTGCTGCTTTTCGCATTTTTCTTTTTGTAGTTTTAAGATGACTAAAAAATCATCGTCCATATCATCAATAAGTAATAGAACATTTGTTCTGGAACTTGGTCGAGATGTTCGTTTCAAAGCTAAACAAGAATTGGTGAATTATTTACGTGAACAAAATGCGCATATTTCATATATTTTAACAGCTAGTGTATGCTTTGAATAATTTCCATGTTGAATATAGTTCAATTGATATTTATCTAGGCTGATTATGTTTTGGTTTCAAATGATGCTGATACATATAAAACTCGTCGAGCAAAACAGCTCGGTATACCATTAATCAATTTTGAATATATTTATGCGTATCGTGATGCATCCAAAGAAAATCAACCGATTGATCTTAAACGATTTATTGTAACATCAGCAGAAGATAAAGAGAATTTTCTAAAAAAATGGTAGTCTACCAGTTACAGGTGAATAAATTACTTTCATTGAAATATGAAAAAAAATGAATGTAGAATTTTGTTTTCGTTGTTAGGAGGAAGCAATCCTTCAAATAGTACAGTGAAGCCTATCAAATTAGATTTGTCAAAAATAAAGATTTGGAATTCGGATGATGTTGAATTACCACGTTTTCATGAATTAACATTTGCTGAAATTGGTAAATGGGCTATTTTCAAAGTACATATTGACTTGAAAATAAAATTTCTTTTTTGATAAAACTTCTTTTGAGATAGGAAACAAATGACAACTCTGATGTTTATTTTGCTATTGAACTTCAGATAATCCCAGAGGAATATAATAATCAATCAAATAATGATTATCGACTAAGATTTCGTTATGAAAAACGAACTATAACAAAATCAAAAGGTAACATATCTTTAATTCAATATGCATTTAGTAATGATATTAATGAATTACATCAATTGTTTGCTACATATTATTATCGTGTTGCAACAAGCCACGAATAACAAGAATTCGAGATTTATTACCTAATAAATTAAGTTCAAAGTTATTATTACGAGTAAAATAAATAAAACAATTATTTTTCTTAAAAACAATATTGGTAATATTTCTAGTCTTTATTTCTTGATCGTATTGATACACAAATGCTTGATGATAATGTTTGTCAATTAGTCGAATCTCTTTGGATTGAATCAATTAGCGATTTGAACAACATACTTGCTGTAAAACCAGAGACAATAACTCTTAAGACCGTAGGAACGAATATAGATAGAGAATTTTTATTCATCTCATTGTTTTTTATTACTGTAATTAGATTGTTGAAGCAGAAGCTGCTTTACTAGAAATTGCATCCGATAGTAAATCATCATCAGAAGCAGAAAAACGTTTCCATTCACTTATTCCCCATCAAAAAGCATTTGTTGTTGATCTTACTAATAATCGTCGTATATTAGTTGATAAATTAGATTTATGTCAGGTAGGAAAATTTGTTTTAATCATATTCATTTAGATTTTTGTAATTTTTCAAAATTTAGATGCTACGCGATATGGTTTCTGTAAATGAATTAACAAATTGGAATATAAAAGCATCGGTCGAAGCAAAATGTCGAGCATTAAAATGTCATATAGAACCCTTAAAAATGATACAAATGAATGTATAACAATTAGTGATATGATATCTTCATCAACAAATTCGTTCGTATTTGTTTGTTTATTGTCACTACGATAGAATAAAAGTTTTGTATATTTTTACAGTAATGAACAGGTGATTATTCATCAAATATATTCTGTAGCTAAACAAACAGATACACTTAATTTTCGTTCAACACTTTTTAATCAAAAACAATTTTTTCACGGATCAAAATATAATAATTCTCTTGGTATTCTATCGCGGTAATTGAATTTAAAAGGAAAAAGAAAGAAGAAATTCTGTTTTTTTACTCTATTCAAATGTGTTCTTCTTTGTATTTTAGTGGTTTGCTCATGCCCAAAGTGGTCGTTAATAATTTAGGAGTAGTACGTACTGATATTGGATGTTTAGGATATGGACTTTACTTTTCTGATTCTGCTTCAACATCATTAAAATATACAACACCTAGTGTTACACGTCCTGATCGACGATTATTATGTATATCTCAAGTAGCATTAGGAGAGTCCGCGAAATTCTATTCATACACATCAAATTTAACTCAACCACCTGAAAATTTTCATAGTACACATGGAGTGAAAAAAAATGATGAAAATAATTCAAAGTTTGTGGTGACGATGTTCTATTGTTTCAGTCAGCCTTTTCTATTATTATCTTTATTCAGGACGATGAATATGCTATTTATAATCTTGATCAACAACGATTACTCTATCTTGTTGAACTTTCATGGATACCACATGATAATGTTAATCAATCGTCAATATTATTACCAATTATTCGTGATAATTTAATGAATCAATCGAAATCATTGTCAGGTGAACGTAATTACATATTTTTTACCACCAAATTTTAGATAATTTATTAAAAATAATATAGAAAACTAAAAACACACTAATACTTCGAAATTCTGCAACGAATTTTAGCTATATAGTTTATGAAGGAGGAATAGAATTTTGATCAATACTAATCACACAACTAGGAATTTCTACATATTTTTATTTTCACTTTATAAAAAAACAAGACAGATTTTGTAATCGAACATCAGTTTACAAGAATATAAGTTATAACATTTTACTGACATATGTTATTATCTATGCATAGAATTATTTTAGTCCAAACAGTGGTCATTATACATTTGTACATATATATATATTTATTTATTACAGTGGACGTTCCTTTAACAATTGAAGATGAAGTAATCCAAGTTGCAGAACAAGACTATGGCTTAATTTGTCCATCATCAGGTCAACTTATTCCACTTAAAGGTTTCCATATTCGCGCTCAACTTGTTGATGTTACTGCTGAAGTAAACAAAATATTTGTCTTTTCTAAGAAGAAAATCATTTTTGATGAATTGTTTTAGGTTGTTCTTTATCAAGTTTATCATAATACAAGTACAACACCTATTGAAGCAAAATATGTATTTCCTCTTGATGAAAATTCATCTGTTTGCGGTTTTGAAGCTCATATTAATAATAAGATAAGTAAAGGTATTGTAAAAGAAAAAGAACAAGCTAAACGTGAATATCGTGAAGCTATTGAGAAAGGTCATGGTGCATATTTAATGCATCAAGAACAACCAGAAGTATTTAGTGTGTCTGTTGGTAATTTGCCAGCTAACTGTGAAGTGATTATTAAAATTACTTATGTTACTGAATTATCTATTGAAAATAATGATATTATATTCTGTCTACCAGCTAAAGTGGCTTCATGGCAATCAAAACAAGTCTTAGAAATGCAAAATCAAACTGTACTTCCATCAGTTAATCTTGAACAAGATAATTCTTCAATGAAATCAGTTGAATTTAGTCTTAAAGCATCAGTACGTATGCCGTATGAAATAGAAAAACTGTTTTCACCAACACATCGACTTCGTCGAAAAATCACTGATTGTCTTGCTATGATTGAATTTATTGATAATGTTCTACTGGAAAAAGATTTTATTCTTTCAGTAACACTTAAAAGTGTTAATCTACCAAGATTGTTAAATGAAACATATGTTTCATTCGATACAAATAATAATAATAATCGATTGGCCAATGAAAATTCTCAAGCATGCATGTTAACGTTTTATCCAAAATTCGAAATTGTTAATAATGCAAATGAATATGTTGAAATTATTTTTACTATTGATGTATCAAATTCTATGGATGGAAAACATGTACAACAAGCAAAACAGTTAGCACATTTATTTTTAGCGAATATGAAAACAGATGGTAGAAATATTCTTTTTAATATTGTTACATTTGGATCAGGTAAATTGAGTTTCTTTTTGTTTTGCAAATTTTTTTTTCTTCTATGAACGAATTCATTTTAGACAATGATGAATGTTTTCCTATTTCATCTCCTAATACAAAAGAAAATATTGACAAAGCGAAATATTTTGTTTTGGTTTGTATTAGTTCTTTGTTTTCTTCTAAGCTGATCTTGTTTTTCTTACAGCATTCACTCGATCATCGTGGTAATACTGATCTATTTTCTGTACTTCGCCAATATTCTCTTTTACCATCTTCCTCTAAACCCAGTCGACAATTTATTCTTCTTTCTGATGGACACATCAATAACCTGAAATCTATTTTAATTTTATTAGAAAATCAATCATCTATGCGTCATGATCGTTTATTTGCATGTTCAATTGGTGATACATCAAATAAACATAATTTAAGGCAATTAGCTAATGGAACAAATGGTGGTGGTTCAACGACTATATTTGATTCAAATTATCGTTCAAGATGGAAATTAAAAGTACTTCAAATATTTGAACATGTTGGTCAACCATGTGTTACAAATATATCAATTGATTGGCATGGAACTATTGACAATCAACAAGAAAAGTTTACTAATCAAGCACAAAAACGAATTCGATCATTATTTGATGGCATGTTCTTGACTGCATATCGTTTTATACGAAATTGTCTTAAAGCAACATTAACAGCAACAATAAATAATCAAGAATATGTTACAACTGTATTTAGTAATAAGATAACTGACACAAAAGGACGTATTTTACATTGTTTAACAGCTCGTGCTATTATTCAAGATTATGAAAATAGTTTATTACATGATGATGAATGTGAAAATGAACTTATTAAAAGATAGTATAAACAAGATTTAATTGAACTTAGTATGAAATATTCTGTTGTCAGTTCATTTACAAGTTTTGTAGCTATAGAAGAACGTGATGGACACGTACTTGAGTCGGGTGTTCGATTACTGGATGTTATGCTTGAAAATGGCAATGATTTACTTCCATACACTGGTTGGGATGGTGAACGATCTCAAATAGATATAATTAAAGATAAAATAATTAACGCAAAGCGTGTGTTTGATAGTGCGTCAATATCAAATAAAATTGAATTATCAATTGAGTATGAAAAGCTTTGTCAAAATATATCGTATCGTTCTAGTGGTGATGCAAAATATGAGTTAATATTAGCCATAGCTGATACATATAGAACAACGTTCCAAGAAAAAGAAAAAGCACGACAATTATATGACAAAATACGGGAAGGTAGGAATTTGAAATTTTGTGAAAATTTGCTATTTACTAATCAACGAATATGAATGCATAGATTTAAATAATGAAATTATTAATGCAACAATTAATGAAAGAAAAATATTAGAAAAACGATTGAATGAAATGAACTTACGTATTAACAAGGATTTATTGTAAGTTGACAATATATAAAAAAAAATTATGTTACTATGGTGATTATTTTTTTCAGAGAAGATTTTGAAGACAAAGGTACACTATGCGATGAAAATGAAGCTAGTGAACCAGAATTATCTTTCAGTGATGAATCTGATTTTCGCAGTCGTTATGATGGTGAGAGTGATTTTTACGGCGGCAATCGCGGAGGCGATAGTAATGCTAGCACTAATACATTCGTAAGTTAATCATGTAGAATGAATGATAAATTCTTTGAAATAACTCTAGATACAAGATAGAAAAAAATCAGTAGATTATTCTGATGTTCATGACGACGCTGTTAGTTTTAAATGTACCCGTGATTATCAGACCAATGAATCAAAGAAAAAATTCATTCGCAAGCATGGATTCGTATCACAAAGTGATACAATTAAACATGCAACAACAGCAGTTATGGAAGAAAATTATGGTGGCATACGTTTTACCTTGTTTGAAGATAGTGAAACCGATGCAAAAATGGATAGCATATCTCAGAAACTAGAAATGAATCTTATTTCTCCACAAACAGCACCTTCTGACTTGCTATCACATAAGAAACAAGAAAAATCTGCTTATTATGACGATAGTATTAGTCTTCCAATTGTCCATGAAAATCAATATACGGCATATTATCCTGAAATAAATAGTAAGAAAGGAAATAATACAGCTGAAGTAATGAATTAATTTTCAAAAATAATATAAAGTAGCTTAAGACTTATCATCAACTTCTACGAAGAAGCTGAAATTATTCCGAAAACAAGGTAGCAATATTAATCTGAATTTTTGCATGTCCCTGAGTTTGATAGTCTGTTGAAGGCAATCTGTCTAGTAGAACTTTGCACAGGAGCTTTGCATTCTGTAAGTTCACCACTACAGCTCAACATTGTCGTAGACATGATGAAAACAATGAAAGAGATGACGCCTAATCAATCCTAATTGCTTCCACATGTAGATCTATATTCGGTTGAGGAGACTTGCGATAAATTTTCATATTTGTCTTCGTCAGCCGATGCTTTGACAATGTCCTTAGGGTGTGAAAGATTTGTGATGAGCATAGATAAATCTTTCTCATTAAAGCTAAAAAACTTACTGAAGCCGAATTCGAAAATACGGTACACTTCTTTAGAGCTCCAAACTGAACAACAAGAATCATTTTCACCTGTAATTCGTAACAAGACAGTTTCTACTCGTCGTCAAATAGTAACTCTCTCATCACGCCGAGATATTACCGAAAAGAATCTTCTGAATTCGACTCCTGCTACAACATCAATACCTTTCTCTCAAACCAGTACTATCGATACAAGTAACAGTGATTTTTCACTTAGTGTTTTTTTTCCTGAATCATCATCGCTAAATTCCCCTACTATTAACACTAAAGTCCATACCACTGCAATAGAAGCACCACCGCCCCCACAACATTCTCCTCTTCCTGGATTATTTTCATTCGGTTTAAGCAGCACTAGCTACAATGGAGAAGCTCGTACTACCTCGAAAGAAATCAATCCTAATCAAATATATTCCAGTTTGAATTTGTGTAAACCATCATCTACTGAGACTCTATGTTTGTCCACGCCAGCCGCATATGATACAAGCAACAACAACATCAACAATCTGATTGAACCTGCTCATGCGACCCAAGGATTTAGCAGTTCACCAATACTGCCTATTGCGCCTCCGTCACTATCTGCTCCTCAAGCACCATTTTCTTTTGCTTCATATGGAAGTGCCATAAGCAGCAACCACAGTCTCTTCGAAGGCAATCATAAATTCAGCGGATTCGCTTATAATTCAACAATACCTGCTGTAGCACCACAGCTACATGTTGCTTCTCAAGCATCCTTTTCTTTTGCTAATGTTGGAAGTACAATAAGCAACAACAACTTGTTCCAAGGTACTAACACATTTAATGGATTCGGTAGTACTTCAACTACACCTGCTCCTCAAACATCATTTTTTCTCCTCACTCATCAAGTGCCATAACCAATAACAGCTCATTCCAAGGTGTCAGAGCATTTAGTGGGTTCACTATTCCTTCAATGATATCCGCTGGTGCATCTCCTCCCCCGCCACCACTACCTGTTCCTCAAGCCCCATTTTCTTGTACTTCACTTGGAAGTAGCACTATTAACAATGTTAGCACTCCTTGCCCTTCCAGTGGATTTAATAGTTCAACAATGTTTTCCACGTCTCTGTCACTATCCCCTTCACTACATACTATGTTGTTTGGGAGCTAATCAAATAGCAACACTATGTTTGATTCTTCTATGCAGCCCAAATTTAGTAGACAACAACAACCGAATTCAATAACTATGCCTCATTACCCTCCAATAACAACAGCAACAACAGCAACCAAAGTTCCATTATTGAGCACCATATTCACACAATCGCAGTGTTTATTTGGCGGGCAGGGCAAAAATGCTCCTCATAATATTGTGTATGCAACGGCAAGCAGCCAGTCGGTAGATAAAAATCTCCTTGATTTAACTACTTCTTGTAATGGCCCAGGCGGATCACTAAAGTATGAAACAGTCGACATGAAACTACCTGCTGCATTTTCAATATGCGATGCTCTATCATCTTCAATTGAACCGTTAACGTCTGCAACCCGAATTCAAACTGAAGGCTTTGAACTAAAACCATATGAGGTGCCAAAGAAATCTATCGATTACAATCAAAAGTATTACTCACAAGACTCACTGCAGAAAATGATTAGTTCTTCGGGCGAATCATTCAGAAACGACAGAAAATTTCGCCAATCTCCCGGAAAAACAGCCGTCATTGACTGTTCATACAATAGAATTCCAATGGCACATAAGATGGATGCTGATGTATGTAGTAGTAGAATTACGCCTTGATTATTATGATAAATTATTGTTTATTACAAATACAATCCCTAAAACAACAAGACTTACTGTCACTTGACGTTACACCACTTAGTTTGGGCATTGAAGATATGAATGGTCATATGTGTGTCATTATCAGTCGTAATCGAACAATTCCGTGTCGAACAGAATTTTACTCTGCATTTACAAATACTTACGCTTATCAAACAGCAGCTACGATTCGTGTTTTCTGTGGAGAACATAAACTAACAAAATACAATGTTTCATAAAAAAAATATACAATGTCATCAAAAGTTATTATAATAATTTATGTTTTATTTTTTAGACATTGATTGGTGAATTCACACTTACTAATTTGATACCAAATTTTTCTTCGCAAACATTAGTAATATCGATTTGCATGAATATTGATTGTAACGGATTGTTAGAAATCGAAACTGAAGAAAGACGTTCAGGTGCTAAAACAAAATTTACAATTGATCAACAGAATTGTAAGAAGTTTTCTATTGAACTGAATATTGCCTTGGATAATTTCTATTGATAATATAGATACAGTAGATAAAAAATATATTGAACAACATCTTTCATATGTAGAAAGTAATCCAAATTTTCATGCTTTTTGTGTTTATGATCGATATCCGAAAGATTCATTATATATGGTTTGTAATAGTAGAGTTTAAAAGCAATATATATATATATATATATATACTATCAATTTTGTTTATCAATCTTTAGCTTAAAGGACCAACTATCAATGCAAAAATTAATTTTACAAGTGAATCACAAATATATAAAGGCTTTACATTATTTGATAAAATGAAACAGATTGATTTAACCACACTGATGATGAATGAATTGAAAAGAATTCAATTAGTAGATGGGTCATTTGATTTAAATCAAGATTTAGCTGATTTATTATCTCTCAATATGAAAGACTTTGATGAACTTAAAATGTATTTAAACAAACAGGGTTTTAATTCATTTGGTAAGAAAAATAAAATTATTCTTTTCTAGAGTGAACACGAAAAATCAATGATTAAATCATTTTATTTCAGCACTAAACACACAAACTGATATAATTCGTTTGATTGCGACGGGTATCATGCTTCTTGAATTTTTATTACAAGTACCCGTATCAGAAAGAAATGCATCATTGGTTCCATTCGACAGTAAACAAATTCAAGTACGAATTTTTTATAGTTTTTTTCAATTTACCTAATTTTGTTTATTTTCTATTTTAAGCTAATTTTTCATCGTCATTTGTCTCAAGCTCTGTTAGAGAATATTGATAAAATGATTCATTTTTATGAACAAAAGCGTTTATCCTATGACATCTATTGTGCACAATTAGAATTAAAATATTCATCATGGGAAAAATTCATTCAATATGCACTTTTTCATATCGATATTTAATAGATTTAATAATTTCATCTTTTTTTTAATCATGGTATAAATAAATTGAGAAATACTTTTTTGTTTCAATAACATAAAATATATCTCGATCAAAAGAATATCATGTCTCTCTTTTTTGAATTTCTTTTTGTAAAAGTTGCTCTAAGTGAACGAAAAGCTATTCAGTGGTTATACTGAATAAATTTGATTTACTTTGATCAAAGACTGAAAATTAGTAGTTCGACATTTCAATAAAGACAAAATAGTATAATAATAATTAGTTAGTTAGCTATTGCTATTATGAAGCAGACGCTTCATTCGTTACTTTTATTTGTTTACAAAGAAAAAATTACAAATTTCTCTTTCTCTTTCTTGTAATGAATGAATGATACTGGTTCTATACTAAATAAAAACGAAATCGACGAGCTACCAAACTGACCATTGTTTATATTTTGTTTAGTGATAAGTCATATGCATTCTTTTATAAAGAATTTTCGAGGCTCAACCAATCATCTATCGTTATCACATCATGATTGCTCTTACTGGTTTGTTTTAACAAAGACAAGAATGCTTCTTTGATATGATAGGTATTTCATGTTCTTTCACTTTCTCTATCTCTCTCTCGATATATCATCATCTCTCTTTTTCTCCTTCATTCTCTCTAAAGAGATATCAATAGCTATATATATAAAATATGGCGTGTCTGTTTTCTTTCATTCACTCATTACCTCGTCTTTTCATACATAGAAGCACAACTTTTTTTCGATCCAGTAAGTTCACATTGAACTTTCATTAAAACGTGATACGTTTAACATCAACTTTGAACATTTAGGCTACTAAAGAAAAACAAAATATTATCATGGCAGCTACCGCTGGTATTGAAAAACTTAAAGGTACATGGGAATACGTCGACGGTGAACACTTCGATGACTACATGAAAGAGATTGTAAGAGCAGCCTATTATTTCGTTATGAATATTAAATGTTTATCGATCTTCTAAAAGGGTGTCGGTTTCGCTCTTCGTCAATCAGCTAAATTGATTAAACCAAAATTAATCATCAAAGAAAATGATGGTAAATGGATGTTAAAAAGTGAATCAACATTGAAATCGGCAACTTACGAATTTGCACCTGGCGTTGAATTCGATGAAACTCGCCTTGATGGTGAAAACGTTAAAGTTAGTCATGATTTCTTATCCAAAATAGTGTAAACATTACATAAGATCCTTTTTTTATTGTTTATCCTTATAGTCTGTTATCAAATTTGAAAAAGATAAATGGCTTCATACAATGCGTGATAAAAATGGAAAAGAATCAACAATTGCACGTTGGGTTGATGCGCAAGGACAACAACAAATTGTATGTTAATTTTAATTAGTTTTATGGAAGTAAAATCTAGTGTCATTTCGTATATGTTTCTAGGAAATGAAAGCCGGTAATGTTACAGCTCGTCGCTGGTACAAACGTGCCGATTAGATATATAAAATCATGTTCATCACGTGCTACTTAATACAGACTAATAATCATTATTTGATAGATTTCTCGTATACCTACTTGCCTCTGTTTCTCATATCCATTCTTATACAATTACAAATAAAACTCTGAGTAGTATTACATGTCTTTTTCTTTTATTTGTATGTTTGTATCATCTTTTGGTGTTCGATAGTTAACAAACTAGAATGAACCAAATATGAGTTCTATTTTTTAACTAATCGAAAGATATGCTTGATTCGATAGGAATTTTATGATTAGAAATATTAGTATTGACTCGAGCATTGCCGAATAATGTGATACCATTTTGAAAATATTCTTGCTAAGAGAGATAAACATATTATCGACCTAACAAGAAACTTATATTCTATTCGTATTGATGATGTGCTTGAAAAACATCATTTCGGTGAAAATCTTAATTTGATATATTTTAAATGAACTGATTTCATAAAAACATTCTTTGGTACTGAATAATAGGAATGTATTTTGATTGTTTTCTACTTTGGCTCGTATGCATTCTGCAAGATTGAATTAGAAAAAAACACGTTTTGATATTCAAATTTAAATTATATGGTTGCAAGATTTCTTTCTCTATTATGCAAAGTTTTATTTAATCTTGAATTTCAGAAAACTTATCATATCTATTGTATCGTTTCTTTGTTTTTGGTAAATGATGAGCATAGTAAATAAAATAGAGTTACGAAACAGTTATGTCCTAATGTTCATGGCTGTCAATATTAACACAACAATCTTGAAAATAAATCTAACATATTACATATACAGCTAAATCATTGTTAATTAAAAAGAATTTGACGAACTATCCATCGGCAAAGAAAAGATTATACTACCTGATTATTATATTTGATGTGCGAATAACATGGATATTGTGAACGTTCTCTTTGATTCATATCTATAACACTATTCAATGCAAGATCAAATCAATTTTAATACTATGTTAATAGCTTAGAACACAGTAGGTGGTTAAATATCTTGAGGGTGTTTTCGAATGGCTATTAGAGTGGTCAAACTAATTTGCGAGAAGGCGTTACATTCAAGTATTCTACGCACAATCTCAGAATATTAGCGAAGTGAATCTTGTATTTGCGTTGAAATTCTAAAAATTAACTTTTTTCAGAATTTTCTTGTTGGTTTAAAGGCCAAATACTGTAATGTCTGCAAGTATTTGTGTTCTCTTAAAATATTTCATATTATCCTGTTATATTCTTAAAACCATTAACTCTGCTATGATTGAACTCAATGAATCAATAATTCGTAGTGATGTGAGAAATGCTTTCTCTATCAAGGATTCGAATTTAACATGATTTATTTGATGAGTTGACAGATATGATTCGTTGGTTTTTCTTCAACTAATAATAATCTTTTTTTTTTTGAAAAATGTCTCACTTAGTATCTTTCCGCTTATTTTGCTAATATTTACTATCGATGTCTCTTTGAAATTTCATGTATCAATTATGTTGCATTAATATGAAATTTTTAAATCGGAAAAATATCTGATAGATTCTAAATTGAATGAAACTACTAAAATTAGTTTCAGAATGTGATCACCATTCGTTTTTTTTTCTAGTATTGACGTTTTTATTGAAGCAGATTTTTTTTAGTGAACCATAATGAATTATTCTACTGATTTGCTTTTAGTTTATAAAGAGAAAATTTTATGTTGAAGTTCACCGTCGCTCTTCAACAGAAATTTACATTCCAAAGATTATTTTTTTTTATTATAAAAGAGACATGTTTACTCTTGCACTTATCTTTCCGATAGACATGATTCTCAATGAAAGAAGATTTAAGTTTGTCCATGAATGAGTAAACACACTATCTTCACGAGATAAAAATCGGACCATTTCAATGAAAAAGGACAATATTTCTTGGACAAGTAAATAAATATGTATTTTTCGATCGTTGATATAACCATCATATTTGATTGAACCTTGCAATGTTTGTGCATTTGTCAGTAAGCTTTGACGTTATGACAACTATTTAATTGTAGTTATAGAATGCAATAAAAATTAGACATAAAGATTAGGCTTTGTCTTCGCAGTGTTCCTTTTAGTTAATAAAGACATCTTTTATGAGTCAACATATCGATTCATTTACGATATAAGTACATGCGACTTCATTAACAATTATCAATTCATTCTGATTGTCATGATTGCACGTCCGTAACAGTTTCATTGATTTAGATCGTGGAAATCTATGAAGAATATCGCGCACAACATGTCATCATATTTAGCAAACCTCTTATTTAACGAATGAATGGAGGATAGCTTTCATCACTTAGTAAGTTGAACGTAAAATCTATTTTCGAGTGTAATTCAAAGTGATAAGATCTTATGAAAACCAAACAAAACAAATTCGGTTATAGTGATGCTTTTTCTTCTTATTCTCTTCTATTCTTTGCTCTGGATGATTACTATATTTAATTTTTATTATTCAGCCTTTCCAAACAAATATAAATAATCTAATTACAAGAGATTAGTTCACATATTACAGACTTACATTCTTGTTTCCGCGCATCAACGACATAGTAGTTCCACAAGACTAGAATACATGTAATTGATTTATTTGGGTGTGGAACGACACAATTATCTTGAATGACACTTTTAAGAAGCACTTCGTGGCACATTATTTTCAAATATTTTTAGTATAAAACATTAAACAAGAGTTGAATCACCGTCCAATTATGCTTTTCTGCTTGTTTGTTTTTCTGTTGGGTACATTGTGACAATTCAAATAGTTTTAAATTATTCTTACTATTATCGGTATCATTACATAATTTCTACAAATATCAGCATGATATCTGAGAAAGAATGGTTATGTTTACCAAAAAATACATTTTACTTTCGCTAAATTTTATTTAGATTTTTATTAGTTAAAAAGAAACTGTCTTTTTCGTATGCATACGCAATTAAAAGCATGCAACAGAAATTCAAAGTGACATCACGTCTGAACATAAGAAATGAGCTGGAGTAATGAGACACACAGTAAATTATTCAACTATAATGGAAAGATTTGTTTAGATTCAAAGCAACTTTATTATACATCATATGAACCAAACGATTAGCAAACATTATTTAAGGGGCGGGGGGGGGGGGGGGGGGGGGGGGGGGGGGGGGGGGGGGGGGGGGGGGGGGGGGGGGGGGGGGGGGGGGGGGGGGGGGGGGGGGGGGGGGGGGGGGGGGGGNTGAATTAATACGTTCACATACAATGTTCAATTGTTCAGGAGAAGTTAATATCATGTTTACTGCTTTCGTTATTCGTGGACCTATTTGTCTGAAATTTTTAGGCAATATGGATGTTGTGTTAACTCAATTTATTGCAAAGTTTTTGCTTTAAAGAGTTATTGGCAAATTAGTCCCCAAAACGGTGGTTCTCGTAAGGTACCGATTTCTCGAACTACCAAAGACGTAGCTCGCTAGCTCTTCTACAGTCTGAGAAATCGGTTCTGAACCTCAAAAAAAGTGATTTTGAGGAAACGAATAACCAAATTGTATGAAACAATTTTTCATTTCACTAGATGACTGTCACGACATCTATCCGGAAATTTCGTCATGTGCACAGGATTTTAAGTGGAAATGACTATGTTCTGCTAATTAATTAATATAACAGAACGTGTATCTGTTTCTCATTAGATAAAATCTACCAGTTTGTCGAACAATATAACATCGCCGTAACTAAGGAAAATTTCTGAAAAAACCATATATTTCTACTACTGCTTCCAGAAAACCGCTATTTTCACCACCAAAAACTATTCAAAACGTGACAAATCGCACATAATCTGAAAGAGGACATTTTGGGCTCTCAGTATATATGCTTATCTCAAAATTGATTTTTGTGAAAAAAGATCGATTTTCTGAAGGGGGGGGGGCTTAATCTAATACTTATTCCTAACTATTGATTGTATTTGTCAATAAATGTTTTAAACTTGAGAAAAAAAAACTAAATGCTATATTCGACTAGTGAATCTTTTCGTTGTTGCATATTCTTTCTATTCATCTGTCGAGAAGCAATTATAAAAAATCTCAAATTACTTTGTTCTCTTCACTGTCGTAACTGATACGACACGAAAAATATTCATTCTTATGTACAAAATGAGCTGCTACGAAACAGCATCGTCGATAGTTTTTCTTTTCTTTTTAGTATTAACATGGAGAATCTTGATGAAAAACAAGAAGAATTAGAACCTATCGAATCTGTTGATGTAGAATTATCACCAGAGCCAATAGATGAAACTAATAATATTAAACAAATACGAACTACAACATCCGTAATTCAATCTCTTCTACTCGAACCAATCGAAGACAAAGATGATAAAAATACCAAGAAGAAAAATAAAATAAAAACTCTTCGTCAGAAAGAATTAGTAAATATTTTCATAATAGAAAAACCTATTTGATTGCCTATTTCCTTATATAGGAACGTTTAACAAAAGCAGTAAACATGATATTAACTTCTCCTGAACAATTGAACATTGTATGTGAACGTATTAATTCATTGTTATCAGGTCACAAAAAAATATTGCTTGCTGCTTGCCATGCACTAGATAAACTTGATTCAGGTCGTTTACCGTATGAACAATTTCGACTTAGTAATAATAAAAGAATTCTTAATGGTATTGTTGATATTCAAAGCAAATTTTATTTTTATTCTTAGTCATCAGAGATCGATTGCCTGAAATGATTGGCGAAGATATTTTTTCTCTAACAAAATTATTTGAAATCGAAGGTTTAATAGACTATCAGATAATATTAGATGAAAAATTTGGCGATGGTATTTTACGATATATATCAGTATTACCTGTACCAAAATCAAAAGAAATAGTTCTTGAAAAAAGAATACCAAATCAATTTCGAAAATTCTTCAATGAATCTGTACAACTGAATCAGTCTAGGTGAAAATCAATATCGTTTAAGAGAAAATCTATTCGTTCTTTTTCGTATATAGATATATTACTGTTCATCTTCGTAGTATCACATTTGATTCGTTCAACACATATCCTGGTCATTTAGATATTACTGTACCAGATCATATGAGTATCTATGCTCTATCAAAAATGATTATTGACAAAACAGATTTAGCAACAAGGTCCGTCAGTTTATTTCGTGAAAAATGTCCATCACGTAATACTCTTCTGGATCCAATGCGTTCACTTGAAAGTCATGCTTATCTAGGTGCCTATGTAGATGGTACGCACAATCAATCATTTCCGAGCTATACACTCTACTATGATCATTTGCCGGTACTTGTACCTGCTGATTGTCCAATACTTAAATGTGATTATTTCATGAAATGACTAGAATTTTATGTTCTTGTTTTTGTGCGTATCTAATTCATTTGCTTATCGTACCTATTATAAATTATATTCAAATAAATATCAAAACTATCGTACAGATAGATAAAATCTATTGACTACTAATTATCGATATGAATATTTGATCTACATTTTGTATTTGATAATTAAACATTGAGCTCACTACATCTCCACCAAGTATTCATTGCTATTTATTCAAAATATATTTAGTTTACTTTTCAAATATAAATTTCTTCGCTATTCGAACAGCAGCTAACATTAGAAATCGTGTCAAAGCAAGAAAAATTGATGATCATTTGTTACTTTTGAGATAATCGATGCGCACAGATACTAAATCCTATTTGGGAATTAATATAAAAATTAACAAAATGAGTAAAAGCTTGAAAATAATATACTGGTGATAAATTTTGAAGAACTACGCATATGATATACATAGCCATACAAAGAACCAAAGTCTGAAAATTTTGTGCATTGATATATAAAATTTAAAGAAATTCTATTTATTATTCAATTAGATTACATTGAACACTCAAACAGTCTTACACGCGATATGATCCTGTGAAAATAATGCATGCTATTTTATGCATACATAAGAGTCTTACATGTTATGTTTCGAAAAAAAAACAAGAAGATGCTAATCAAGGGATGAAATTAATATTCTTTTGCAAAAAAAAAGTTTATTATTCGCTCAGTAGTCAAGTTTAATATCAAGAGTCAATTATCATTTGGGAAACATCATTCAAATGTATTATATAATGTTATATTTGTATCGAAAGTTTGTTTATGTCCTTCAATCATTTTAACTTGACTGACGTTTAGAATGAAAGCTCACTATCTCTCATCTACCAACTGACACATTGGATAATCATTAGATGTTGTTCTTTTCTCTTTTTTTTCACATGGCGTTGTTCATTCCCTATATATCATCGACTGACAAGCAAGACAAACCCCTAGTCGGCTCAATTCAGTTGTGAATGTAGCTAGAGATAGACTTTCAGCTATGTAAAAACTACCATGCAAACTAACTACAGAAGGTTTATCGAAACCATAAGTTTCTGTTTTTTTATTATTGATATTCGGCTCGATTGAATATTAAGTCTAGTTTGAAGATTTTCTAACATCAATAAATTCGTTCAAAAGCAAATGTTAATTCCCAATACATCATTGATTTTAATAGGAAACATTAATATTCTGACCAAAATGAATCAAATAGTAGTATAAAAGAAAATTTTCGCATTCCGGAATATAATACGCTCAAGTACAAAATCTTTTGTCATACATCACAGTCAACTCAGTGGGATCTGTTTTGTAGATCTTTGAAAAATTCTATCGAATGATATATAATGTAAAATAAATAATTATTTTGGCAACAGAATTGAAGCGATCAGAGTTTCATTATGTTTGTCATCATGTTTCATATAAGAATGACGAATATCGTCTAATGAAAAATGGAATAGAAAAATATTCCATAATGATCCAATGTGTCTGTTCAAAAATGGAAGAAACAAAATTTTGCTTTGACATATGTTTTAACTGACAAGAGCTGCACACGAGAGACAATGTTTCATAGAAATAGAGCCTAGCAGAAGCCTATAAAGAGTAGATTGTATCGAATGTAAAATTAGTTGTATGGAGTCACACTGAGATCTAGTAGTCTGATTTTAGTCGAAATTGACTTCTGGCCTTTTAATAGACTATGGAGAAAATAGCTTAGTAGAGAACTGATTGAATCCCTCCCTTGAGGCCGCCCCCCCTCTCAGATCTTAGCTGTCACTTAGAAAGGTTCGTTCGAGCTGAAATTTTCAGGGATGACTGGTCTTCATTAGAAACAGTCGTGATAAAACGTTTAGCTCGATATATGGAACTGAGCCGAAAATATGGATTATATACATACGAATTATGGCCGCCTGGAGAGTCCTTAAGACTCTGCCAGTAGGAGAACTATAAATGTCGTGCTTGTTCTAAATTAAAACCAGCACCAATACACAACTTTTGACAGAACGGAATTTTAAAATTTGCTTTAGTTCATGTTTTGTAAGTATTCTACTGGAATAGGGGTCAAAATTTGACTAAAAATGGCTACGTGTTGTTATAAAATCCGATTATTTTAAGTTCAGGAATCAAATATAAAAAATCTGATCGGACAAGATGTTACTTACACTTGAAGATTCAAAATTAAAAAAGAACCTCAATACCTTAAATCGCTTGAAACTAGTTTCATTTTTTCTGGCAAAAAACCTTGTTTTGAGAAAACCGATAAATAAATGTAGGAATCATTTTTTTGTTTAAACCCGAAAAAGGATCTCTACATTATATTTTTATACTGAACCTTTTTGATGATGTCATGAATGATATCAACTCGCTCCACCTATAAACGATCTTTGCTATTAACTCTATTCTTTCAACCAACGCGCCTATACTTATGAATATGAAATGAGAGTTTTTAACCTATTAAACATAATTAGCATTGCTTTTAACCCTTTCAATTGAATGGAATCGATAGAGCTATCATTTCTGCACATATTCATTGTATTTCTTCTTGCCTGAACTGATTTCTTTAATTGCAAGGCAGATATCTGCGAAGCACGGTAAAAAAAATCGTCGTCGGATCGGGAACTGCCACTTTTTTTTATTCGGACAACATTTTTATGAAAAACAAACCTCATATTCGTGATCAATGTACTGAGTAAGCTATGTCTAGATCAAATCCCGAAAAAAAAGAAAAACAAAATTTGATTTTCGGTAGGGTGACCAAGGTAAAATGATTTTACAAAAAAAGTGCACTATCATGTTCAGAATTTTATACTGATTCCGATCATGTAACTATTTTTTCAGAAAACAGTTCGGTCAAAAAATGACCTTACCGCCACTTGTCTTTTCTCGAAAAACAAGACAGTACGGCTTAGCATTTTTTCGATAAATCCCTTAAAGTTGAATTTTTTTTTAAATTCTGTATATATTTTGAAAGAGGAGACTTTGAAGCATCTACCCATGATAAAAACTCAAGCTGTAATCCTTTCGAAAAAATCGACTGTTTCAAGGGGGACGGGGTCATTAACGAACTATTTTCTTTAATGGAATTGCTTTTTCATTCATGTGTTTGACATATAAATGTCTTTTGATCGTCGATTGATATACTGTTATTACCAAGATTTCAAATAGATTAGAATGTTTCGTAAATAATATACAAGACCTTAAAACATATTCTGTAAATTTTTGAAAATTTGTAATAAATATACATATCTTTTTTTTCTAGCTTTCTTTTTTACCGCAGAGATCGTTGAATATTTACGTGTTAATTAAAACTCATTCAAAAATGTTTTTTTTTCTGCTTGAATGAAATATGATTGTAAAAAACAAACGCAAAAACTGATCATCTTTTTGTATGATCTATGGGACTAGAATATAGTTGCTTCTATATTTATTATTTTATTGAATTTGAGAAAAATTAAGTTTTCATTGCTTAGAAGATGAGCTAATTGAAAAAAAACCCTAATCTATTATTAATGGCAGTTTTATTATCATTTTCGAAGAAAAAGTCGACCAGAGACTTAAAACTGGATTGAATCCATCGAGGCACATTGCAAATCCGATTAGAATCCTAAGATTTGATGCTGATCTCTAGAGATTTCTGTGTGTTTTATTTCCCGTTGTTTTAGAGGAGATACTTATTCGAATGAAATTTTTTTTCGTATAATGTTGACTAAATAAAGTCGTCTCAATAATCATGCTATTCCTAATACATCGGATCTACTTTCTATTAAGAAAAATATTTAAAAAGAACGGAACGCTTTTCCTGATGAATAAATCCTTAGTATTATTTTTTGTCATCTAGCCATAGTACTGAATTTGTTTTGATGGATGAACTAAATCGTCATTAGTACAACTAATAACGTATTATGGCTTTGATATCTACTCCGTAATGAATCCATACTAATGTTTAAAAGAAGATCTTATCAATTTATTTTTAATCTTCTGGCTTTTATGTACATGTATATTTATTTGCCATTATAATAATATGCATTGCCGATGTTCCGTACTGATGATGGCAATGATTAGTCAAACGATGAACGACATACAAATGAAATTGATTTGGTTGACATGCATCTCGGCTCTTGTTTTATTCTTCTTTCTTTCTCATCAGACCTCTTGTCGATGTGCTCATCCTTTTCCGCCTTTCTTACATACTACTATCCTGAAGTTTATTCGATTGTATAGTGCACTCATTTTCCGTCCATCTATCATTTGCTTACATGCTGAAGACGACATTCGTTACAGTCAATAGTAGCGCAGCCAAAGACGAATAAGAAAAAGGTGATGGTGATCAGCATCATAACGCCAAAAGACAGAGACAGAGAGAAATAAGCAAATAGATAGATATAGAGAAGAAAAATAAAAAGAAGTGCTATCATTGGATTTTCTCTCTATATAAAACAAGTTCTTTCTCTATTTGACATATTCGGGTACCATTTAAACGATTTTGGATCCGTTAAATGTTCGTAGAGTAATTGACGTTTCAATAATGCCTATTGATGGAAGCCTATTAGTAAAAACGGCAAGGAAAACAAACGTCAAAAATTGAAGTAAAAATAATTTCGAAAACAAAGTGTTTGCAAATATGGCTCGTTATGACCGATCAAATAGCGCAAGACCTTTTTGTAAGTATACGTGTATGCATATGTTTTGCTAGTAAACTGTCTATGATTAAAAATTTTGATGGCATGCTACATGTTCTTTTTCACTTGCATAGTCTTTTTTTCATTGTTTTTTTTTTGAAATCCATTCATTTTCATTATACTATAGAATACGTAGATAGATAGTTGATGATTGATTCATGGGTAACTCAATTAGTTGATTTTTGTCTTTTCTTAGCTTCATTTTTTTCTTTATTTTGTTATTAGTTGAAGTGTATTATTGTTATGAATGAAGAAACTTGCATTATCATGAGTTTTCCGAGAAACATATCAAAAGAAACATTTTATTGTCTTTTTCTTTTCTGTTTCCATATGACAAAATAAAGAATGTACGACAACATGTACATTTGATTATGAGCTAAGTTTCAACATTAGATATTTTCCTAATTATATATTTATGAATGATTCCGTATGTAATAAAATGATATTGTAATGAGATGTTGAAAAACTACAATTTTTCGTTGTACATAGCTAGTACCTGTGTTTTTAAGTTCGTCGAGTATTGTTTTCTTTTCTGTTCTGTTTTTTGGAGTCAGTACAATCATTTAGATGGAAATGTCATTAGCACTTCTTGTTTTTCCGTTAATCATTCGCCATTTGAGATCTCAACATGTTGACTAATTAGATAAAAGTTCATTATTTCTTATATGGCACATGCATATTACTATAATTATTCATATCATGCTGTTACATTAGTTATTTGACATATCTTTATGTTCTATGGATCTACCAAGGAAATTCGTGGCGAATGTTATCTTAATGGATTTCTTGTTTAATACCTAATTTTAATTCTATTGCATGTTGATCTGATTTGTATTGAGAGTAAGACTAAGAGTCTTTCAACCTTAACAAATGAATATATTGATGATTGCGTCGATGAGAATTCTATTCGATGGACGACAGCAAGAGAATAAAAAGAAAATAAGATTATTTTTTTTACTTGATTGCTGATGTCATCGAATATTACTTCTTTTTTGTTCTTGTTGTCTATGATCAAATTAGATCGAGTCAAAGTAGTCAATGGGATGTGTTCGACAGCATCTTCTCATGCAACTGAAAATACTCATTTACTTAATGTACTTAATTGGTCACCATTACAAAGTTTAACCACCAGTAAATCCATAATGACCGATGGAACAATAGGCAAAGATGAAAATGAAACACGATCAAAAAATGCTTATAATACTGTTAAAGTATCTATTGAAATACAACAGAAAATGCTTAGGTAAATAAATAGAAAAAAATATTATCTTGTTTATATTTCTTAATATTTTAGTCTAAAATCGATGTTTATTGATCCATCTGGCCGTCTGGTGAACTATTGTCAATTACGTACAAGTAATATTTATCATGATTTATGTGAAATGGCAAAACATTTAACGACCATTACTCTTGACAATGTCACAGAAAATGAACGTAAAACATTTTTCATCAGTAATTATTATTATATTTCTTAAGAAAAAAAAACAATAACATTACGCTATTCTTTTCTCGATTCTAAGATGTTTATAATTTGTTAACAATTCATGGCATTGTGTCATTAAATGATAGGCCAAAATCTGTTCTTGATTTAAATCAATTTTGGAAAACAACATCATATCAAATTGGTCCCCATCTATATTCATTAGATGATATTGAACATGGTATTTTACGAGGTTTGTTTCGACGAAGTACAAAATAATCTTCGTGAAACTTTTCTTTTATCGTAGGTAATAAACCACATTCAAACTGTACTCAACGTCATTTTACATTCAATGATCCTCGTGCAAAGTATTCTATGCGTCGTTGTGATCCACGCATTCATTTTGCACTTAACTGTGGTGCACACTCATGTCCACCAATTAGTATTTACTCATCGAGCAATATCGAAAAAGCTTTAAACATGGCAACAACTTCTTATTGTAATTCAGAAATTGATATTATACTTGAAAATTGTGAAATACGTCTATCAAAACTATTTCTTTGGTATAAAAATGATTTCGGTCGATCAGAGATCGATGTTTTAAGGTTAATAAATTAATTATGCTTGTAAATCATTTTTTTTTGCTCATTATATTTTAGATGGTTAACAAAATATATTGATGAACCAAAACAGTCATTACTTAGAACATTACTTGAGCGACAAAATTCAAAAGATAATTTACATATCTCATATAAAACATACAATTGGATGTTAAATCATCATGATAGCTTAATATCAACTACAGTGGCCGTCAATCATTATCACTAGAAGATATTTTTTAAATTTCATTGTTCTAATTATGCTGATAAAAAGACAAGAATGCATTTATAGCTTATCTAATATTATGTTTTGCAAGTTAGCACCCTTTCGTTTAGAAAAGGGAATAAAATTTAATCGTGTGGTGAAGAGAAAAAAGAACTTGTTTATTTTAGAAATAAAATCGAAGGGAAATGATAGGGAAAATACAACATCAAACAAAACCAAAAAAAGGAGACGATTTATTTTTTGATATGTATGTAATTATTTTGCGAGAGGCGAAATTTGATATGTAAAATTTGCAATCGTTAGTCATCTGACTACTGACAAAAGGTAAATTAAATTTTAGAAATACCTCCACAAAATATAGTATTTATTTAGTTTACCATTGATTTTTGACTATGAATTTAATGATATGTAAGTAGAGCAAAGAAACAAGCGAAACCAATAAAACAATATTCACCGACGCGGGGATAACACTATATGAATACCTACGTTGAATACAATAATTAATTTCTTGCATAAGAACTTAAAACTTCTTGACTTTCAGAAAACGAGCTATTGATCATCATTGCTGGCTCAGTTAAATATTGTTGTCCTGTTGTTGGTCGAATAACTTTATATTGTAATTCTTCGGTTGTTGCACTTTCTTTTAATGGTAAAATTTCATTTGGTATATCGACCAGACAATGAAATATATCATATTTAGGTGGTAAAATACGTTTCTCCAAAACATATTTAGCTGTATAAGAAATGATCAATGTTGTTGAAAGACTTATAAGCATGCATAACGTTTTTGGTGGAATATATGGACCAAAATTAATAAATTTTGGAATACCTAATGAGGATTCACCAATCAGAAAACGAAAAAGAAAACCTGTTATATATGCTGCTAATGAACCATAAGTATTTGAATTTGGTACATAAACAACACAAAGTAATTGCGGAAACAGTATGACATAAACAAGATCCGAACATAAATACCAAAGAACATAAATTGACGATACAAGAATGCCGATTCCAGCAGCTCCAATTCCAACCAAAAGTATTCCGATACGCATTACAAGCAAAACTTCTCGTTCAGATGCCTATGAAAGTTAAAATCAAAGAAATTTTCGATAAGGGAAATTCTTTTGAAAATAATATAGATTATTTATTTATTTACTTGATCACGAAAAACAAGTTTCCATACATTTCGGGCAAACATTGAACTTGCGCTCAGTACACTAGAATCTGCACTAGACATAACCGCAGCAGAAACAGCACCTAATCCAATGAACGCAACAAATTTTGGACATAAATGTAGAAGAACTAATGGTAGAATTAATTTCGTTGCTTCCGGTGATGTTATATCTTTCTCGACATCGTAATCTGTCATTGTCCAATCTAATGATAATAGTAAAAATAAATATCTGTATACATATTAAATATATTGAAAATATTAACTGACTTGTAGATTTAGCAATAGCTCCAATTAAGACAGGTGGTATGGCCAATACAATGCAACCAATAGCAGCATAAAATGACAGAAACATCGCTTTGCTAGCTGTTTTAGCTGATAGAACACGTTGGAAATAGACCTTAAAAAATAACAAAATAAGATAGAACATTTATTATTCAAGTGGCTTTAATACAAGAGACAAAAATTGTGAGAATTAAAATTAATTGACTTCACACTATTTCTTACATGCAATATTATAAGTAAATGAAAAAAAACCTAGGTACTATTTTTTACCTGCCATGGTATTCCACCAAAGACTAATAATAACATACTATCAATCCATTCAACAATTTGAGATTTTTCAATATGTCCACGCCATTCAGGCCATGTAGCAACAATATCGCCAACACCTACATGTTGCATAGCAAACGGAATCGTAACCCAAAGACCAACAAAAATAAATCCCAATTGAACAACATCTGTATAAGCTACCGAATACAATCCGCCGAATAGTGTATAAATAATAACTACAGTGGCTAAACATATAAAAATATATATTTAGTTTCGCTGTTATTAATTTGTTGAACATTTTTACCTGAGATAATAATTGATGCTACGGTTGAAACATCCGTAAAAATAACACTAATTGTTGCTCCTAATGCTGATAGAATAGCTGCTGACCAAAATACTTCTCCTAATAATGCCGGTATAAATAGTAATCCACCCATTCGTTGGCCATATTTACGTTGAAATGGATCAAGCATGGTAACATATCCAGCATTACGCATAGGTCGTGCAAATAATAAGCCGCCAACAACTAAACTAATAGCATAACCTAATGGTGCTTGACATGCAAGAAGACCTGTCGAAAAAACTTGTTCAGCCGTGCCATTAATATATGCTCCACCAACCCATGTTGCTGTCATTGTAAATATTCCAACCAGTAAACCAATATTTCTGCCAGCTAGCATGATCTCCTCTGTATCGGGTGATTTTTCGGAGGATTTTTGTTTTCGTCCGGCCCATATTCCGACAAGCAATATGAGAACATAAAAAACAACGACGGACGCAAGGCCACCAAGATGTACCACCATTTTCTAAAATGAATATATCATACTTATCAATATGAAAAATACTACTGACAATAATAAAATAATAACAGTCTATATATTCCTTGGTGACTTTCTTATAAATTCGAACGACGCGTAACTTTTAACCGGAAGCTTTTGTTTTGGGAAAAGGAAGTTAATTGAAGTAGAGAAAGCGAATAGAAAAAAAATATATTTGTCGAGCACTGTAGAAAGATAACATGGCTCATGAATTGTTAAGAATAGAAAAACAGGATTGTGTTGCTTTGTCGTTGCAAATATTTTTCCAATCATGTGTACAAACTTTTCTTCTCGATTAATTTTCTGTCAACAATTCATTAGACTTAACTTACAAGTTGGTTGATCGTATGTTTGTATTCGACTACGGGTAATGTTTGTTTCCGTTTCTTTATCTCAATTCTACTTCTATCACAATGAGCATCATGTTATTTTCTTTGGTGGCTCAGTTTTTTTTCTTCATCTCTATTTTTTCTCTTTGCTCGTTTTCTTCTAATGATGCACTATCATTCCATTCTATCAAAAATGCGTTCACTCGCGGTTTAACTAAGAAGGTTTTCCTTGCAATAGTAGCTAGACAATTTATTTATTTGATTACAGATTTTTTTTATATAAGAGCGTCGTAGAGATTACGCCGAAAAAGACACAATTTGTTGTTAGATAGTTCTGCTCTTGCAAGCATTGGCAAAGAGAAAGAGTGGAAGTTTCTTGTTCTTCTTTTTTTTTTTTATAGTAACACGTCGGCCGAGATTGAGCACGATTGAAATGACGACAGTCATCATTCCGACGATAGGCACAATATAACAAGACACATCGACAGAGGAAAAGGAAAAAATACCACAAGAAAAAGAGAATCTTTTTTCTTATTTTTACAAAAAAATAAAATCTGCCGATCAATATACTATTGATTCGTGTTATGAGAGATTGCAATCAAAGTTCTATAATACGAAAATAAAATCTTAAAATTAGAATATAGCATATGTTATTTCTGTTAATTGTATAGTAAATATCGAAAAATGCCTAAAATTTTCCTAAAAAAATAGTTCTGTTTGATTGTAAAGGTAACCGATTCACTAAATGTTTGTATTAATCGTCGTCGGAAGGTTAATGCTACGTTTTTGTATTATGATATTGATTGTAGAGGAAATAATTCTTTCTCTAGAAAAAGTGTTTTTTTCTGTAGTTATTGCAAGTGATTTATTACATGAAGAAAAGTCATTGATTTCAATTGAAATATGTGAAACCAAGGAAATTTATTAAAAATATTTTATCAAAAGTTCATTTAAAAAGAGGAACCCACTATTCAAAGAAATCCAGACACCTGAAATACACCATCGAACGTTGATGTTTGACTGAATTTTTCAATACCATACCATTTCACTATTCTTTCAATTAATTGTAATGTCCAATGAACATTTTCATTATTTTCATTGGATCCAAATAGATGAGTCCACCAGCGATATATATTCATAACATAATGAGCCAACTGATGATTACTAACAGTTGCATAATTGGAAACTACAACGTTATCAATGATGATCGTGCCTGATGGTGTTAACGGTGCATAGAAACCTTCTTCCTTCGTTAAATAAATACTTTCAATTTTTGCCGCTACAATTTGATTATGATGCAAATATTTTATACGATCGCCAACATGAAGTTGACTAGCAAATATGGCAGATTTTAGTTCTGTATCATTTGCTAAAAATATTAAATGATTCAATGATATAAATAAAGATGTTGTAGTGTTTTTATGATCGTCAATTTTTATGTTAATTAATAAAAAATCAAATAAACCATCTCGTTTCAAATGAATAAATCCTTCGATAGGTTCATACATCAATGTATTATCTTTATTCATAACGAGAACACGGTCACCTTTTTTTAAATCTGATAAAGATTTCATTAAACCATTTTCTGTTATAACGATACTTCGACCAGGAAAACATTGTGCAACACGTTTAATTGTTAGACAAGTATATTGAAGACAAATATTACCATTCGATGATATCGATGTACAATTACATGTTGAATCATATGGATAATTTTGACTTCTAACATAGTTGAATGATGACAATAGAAGACAAAATAGAAAAAGCAGAGACATCCTTTTTGCTAGATGCAATAACACTGCCAACACTGTTGGAATAATCGTGAATAAGATGAGTAATGAAAAATAGTATATGCGCTATAGATGTGAATAAGAATTTTTCTTTTTTTTTGGCTCTATTCACATATTTTGTTTTTTTATTTCTTTCCTCTCATTCATGATAGATTAATTGTATGCCCGATATTACTCATCATGTATTTATACCCCCTTGTAACGACAGCAATGTCACTGATCTAGTCTTGATATTTGTTATATCATGTATGTTTATTTCGTCTCTGTGTTGTTCTCTCTTGTTGCTTATTGCTATTGACACCTTTTTCGTTTATCGCGCATCAGTGTGAAGCTAGCACGGCGGAGCTAGCACGATGAAACAGAGATTCAACTATAAGTCTTCTCAGAAGTATTGCCGGCCCATAAAAACCAGACCCTTCGATGCAGAATTTTATTCTGGATCGGATGGTGATACTTTTATTCCCCGGCAATGCTTTGAGAAAATTCTATCNGGGAATAAAAGTATCACCATCCGATCCAGAATTAAATTCTGCATCGAATGGTCTGGTTTTTATGGGCCGGCAATACTTCTGAGAAGACTTATAGTTGAATCTCTGTTTCATCGTGCTAGCTTCACACTGATTTATCGCGCTTAGACTCAGAAAATGAGATATATAATTACTCTCTTTTTCTCTTCTAGTTTCTTAGAAGCTTCTTGATATACATCTCTTCACTGAGATATATACTAATTCTTTTTTTTCTTCTCTATCAAAAAGAATCATCTTTTTGATCAATTACATATTACCTTTTTCTTTTCAACTTGATTGTTCTTTAAAATCCATCTAACTCGATTGTCCCTTACAATCGTTCGAACTCGTGTCAGTTATTTGCTTGTGGAGTTCTTCTTATTCTCAACTATTTCTGTTCATTGAACAAAAAATTGGATCTTCATCCAATATTCAATATTATTTTATTTTCATTGTTGCCATTCTGCTATAACCAATACTGTGGCACCTAGTATTACTATTAGTTGCATCTCTGATTCTCATCAAGGCGTTGCACCCCTACCGAGAAATGTACTTTGTATGAATACAAAATGATCGAAATCGTTAAACGATGAATTTGAGTACAATTTGAATCAAATCATAAGATCTGATATTGGCTATTTTTTGAAATTCGATATTATGAATTTTCTGCATTGCTATTCGATGTAGTGTATGCGTAGTAAGTTTATCGATCTTGTTGAATTTCTTCAGCAGGCTTTATATATATATATATATCAAATAACAGCTCCTCTTTGATGTATCGAATAACACTTCGAAATATTAAAAAAAATCTTTGCTTTTTACTTTTCAGTAATGATGTTGTTCACTTATAAATTTGTGTATATATAATGCGAATGCTCGTAACATGTCTCTCTTATTATTGAAGTATAAAACTAGAGTTCCAATTTATGTTACGTACCATATGATAAACATTTTAATAATTCAAAAGCAAATTACTACTACGCCAGTACTGAGCTTCGTTTGTAGTTAAGATATTTTAATCACACGAACAATATTTGATAACGATAAAAATTTGTCTTTTCGATTGATTTTTGAACAATATGATTCTTGCTAGTAAGACTTTCAACCAAAACAAGCGGCATCTTCCGAGGAGAATGAATCCTAGCCTAGGATCCTATGAGTTCCGATCGGTTCCTATTGGAATCCGACGGAGCTCTTCGGAAGGCGCATGGAAACTATCGGATTATCGTCGAATTCCTGGTTCTGGAATCGATATCGGATCCTAATATCGGAAACTAATAAAATCCGACAGTAACCGTCAATCGGAACCGGAATGCTTCGGATATCATTGGAAATACGACTGTCGGATCCGACATTGATTCCTCAACCAGGAATCCAACGGGATTTCGTCGGATGGTAGGACCCCATAGAATCCGATGGGATTCGGTATCGGATTGATTCACCTGGATATCTCCATTACATCTCTATATCCCTTCAAATGTTCGAAGATCTTCGATCGATAGACAAAGATTAGTTGCTGCAGAAGAGCAAGAGTTGGAACTAGCAGATTGATCTGTTTGTCGATTGAACACTATGAAACAAACACCCTCAAGATCTCATTTGTTAAGTTTAGTTAGGGAACTTTTTTGCATTATTTATTTCAATTACAAGAATAATGGTTTTCTGGAATAAATCTTTTATCATGATAAAAAGATGCATCAGTTGCTCTTTTTTTTAAAAATGCTCGTCTCACATTTTGGAACCTTATATTCACCGCGTAGGTATCCACCGCTATCATCAGCATTGTATTGATGAGTATTATCAGATCTCTCCGAACTAACGTTTTCAAAACCATTTCGTCGTATTAAATCATAGAAAAGTGATTCTTGATGACGCTCAACAGTGAATTGGTACTCGGGAGAAATGGTTTTTGTATAATCGCGATCATCAACTCTTGTGACAACAGTAGAGATGAGGACAGCGGAACAACCCGATTGCGACGGGTAATATCCCCATTGTTCGGCATATTTTTTTTCTATTTTGAAGGCAGTCCACGTACTAAAATGTGCCATTTGCATTTTATCTTGTATATGCATTTTATCAAATAAGTACGCCATCACAGAATGGGTTAAATAATATCACAACTAATTTTCTTATTAGAAAGTCACAAATGTACGTGTGTGTGGGCGTGATTTAAATGATCGAATTAACAATGAATATGTTATATCTAGGTTGCAGGTAAGTATCTAATTGAAAAAATGAATATATTTTAATAAATAAATGAAAAAATGTTTTTTTGATTGAGTTTTATGTTTATTTTTATTTTTTTGTATTATTTTTTAGTTTATTTTTATTGTTTTTTTGCTTCTTTTAATGTTTTGGACTTAGTCGATTTGCTTTTAAACTTTTTAGAACTATTTAAGTGAAAAAATCTGAACTTGAACGAATTTCAAGTCAAAAAACGAAAATTTTGGTTTTAGTGAAAGAAAAAAGCAACTTTTAGTAAATTTTTAAGAAAAAACTCGAGCAAAGTGTTAGACTTGTCTTAAAAGAGAAATATACAACCTTAGTTTGTAGGTTGTATCGAAAAAAGAGCAGAAAAATATAATAAATAAATAAGATAAATGAGTTTATTTGAAGAAAAAAATGAACTTTGAGCAAATTTTTAAGAAAAGACCCGAGCAAAGTATTACGACTTGGTTTGAATAAGGGAAAATGATATTCTTTTGTATACTTTAGTGAGCTAAGTAGAAAATCGTAAGAAAAAACTAATTATTTTAATAAATAAGTAAATTTTGTGTGAGAAATGAAAAATATGAGCTTTTTAGGTGAAAAATGAGCCTTTTAAGAGAAATAAAATTAATGAATGTTTTTGTGTGTTTTGTTTTTAGGTTTAAAGAGAAAATGAGCTTGATTTGAGAAATGAGAGCGAACTAGATGGTATTCGAGTTTCACTCGACTACGAGATGCGGTGCGAAGCAAATACGCGTTACGCGAAATCATTATAAAGCGAAAAAACGATATATCAAGTTCGATTTTAAAACTCTTACCTAAATTTTCAACGAATCTTCTATGACTCTCCAATTTCGAGATCATCACGCAACAAAAATCCCTTTTTAGATGCGTACGCGCCAAGTAAAAAAGTAAAAAAAAACTCGCCCTTAACTACATGAATGCAGTGCTTCGCACCGCATTAAAAATGAGCTTGCTTTAGGCTTTAAGAGAAAAGTGAACTATTTTTGGTAAGAAAGTAGCTTCTTTAACTTTAGACGAGAGCAAACTTGTTTTTCAATAGGTTTTAATATAAGATTTAAGTTTTAATGTGGGTGTGGGTGTGGCTGGATGGGTGGGTTGGTGGGTGGGTGTGAGTGGGGATGTGGGTATCGAGGATAATGCACTTCGGTCCCCATGCTAAACCGAAGTAAACTACTTGTTTGAGAATTGAGTTGATTTTAGGGAATAAATAGATGGTAGTAAGAGTTTTTAATGAATACTGATTGTTTAATGGTATTGACCATAAACGGATCTGCGTATAACATCCAATATTTATAGTCTTATCGATTGGACAATATTTTTGAAATAAAAAGGGATTCACTAATGCACTGGAGAGTAAAGACGGACATTTTCTGCTTGAGCATCTCCGTTTGTTTCAATTTATTGAAATAAATCGATTTTTATATGCAAGTGGTTTAATCGCGTAATTTTCATATTGGTGGTAGATATCGAGTTGATAGCAATACCTGCAAATTCTAGTCAACCAATTTCATCATGAATGCGTTTTTGTATTCCGTAGATGCTACCGGAACAAGATTTTTCACGGCAATCCTACTACAAAGTAACGCATTATTTAGAATGAGACTACAAATGCATTCCTGGATATTGACTTTTTTTTATTGAGAAGCAAATTTTTCTTTAAGAGAAATGAATATTCCCTTACTTATTATAAATAAAAATACGCGTCTATAAGAAAAGATAGTTACCGTTTCAGCGATCAATCTGAAATATCGGAGTCAAAATCACACCGTTTAAATATACTCGATATAGAGATAAATTTCATAAGTGCTGAATGCAGATAGTAACCATAAATTTTCATTTTTATGGGCTGCTTTCTTTTTCTATCCATACCTTACTTTGCCATCTCTGCCTTCAGCGATCAACCTCTGCGGAAAAAACCCATGTATATGTTTTCTTTTCTTGAAATTGCCTCCTATATGAAGGGTTCAAACTTATAATGTTTGGGTGTGGGTGTGGGTAGTTACTGTTCTTGAAAGTGTCGTAGTCAGATACGTAGAGCACACCCACCGTTGCTGTTCGTGAGCACTGATTCCGATTTTGAAAATTTATTGACTAGTGTCCTCTCAATTCAGTGTTCGAAATCACTTTGAAATAATGCTTTGTTTTGCAGAACCCGCTTGAAAACGAGCTGTGGAGCTCTATCATATCGAAAAATGGACTTATGCTCAAGGAATATGGACAGAACACTTGGTTCAGGTTCATGTGGAAAGTGTTTTGCTTCTGTTTTGCACAATAAGAATTAGAGCTTTTTTTGTAGAATACAGAACCATCTTTCTCTACGAAATTTTCGTCGTTGTCAACATTTGCTGATTTCGGATCACTCCACCTAAATATTGATTTTGCACTGTTTTACTTGGAAGTTGGAAAAAACCCACTGCTGACAGTCAACAAGGCGCGTGACTCTCGATTTTTTATCGAGTTCTTCCTGCGCAAATGAAAGCATCTACTCGAGTGCTCCTTGCGCAAGACAGAGACATCGACTTTTTGCGAAAAAAAAGCAAAGAGAAGGCATGTGCTTCAATCAAATAGTTTTCTCGATTTGAATAATGCATGCATTACAAAAGACACGATGCAACCTTGTTGAAGAATGATTAGAAGAGTGTTTACAGGATACAGTTCGAACTTTGCAGAGGATGTGGGTTTAGATGAAATGAGAACTCACAACCCACATTGACATGCACATACACACACACTCATGGAGCCTGTTTCTGTTTAAGTTCAGTTTTGTTAGATAAGTAAACAATCAGATATTACTACACGGGCGATGCAGACTAATCGTTTGCACATCACCAGTAGCTACAGCTAATAGATAGTCGATATTTGCATTCAATTAAATCTTGTGATTAGCTGTATACAGATGATACGCTCCTTGTCTACAGTGAAAAATAACATTCAATATTAACATGTGTATTCAAGATTAAGTTTTCTCATAAACATGAAAACTATAACAAATAAAATGTGTGAAAATGATAGTGAATCAGTAGGATAGAAGAATTATTATTGATTTCTTATTTTGGCACCTTCCTGTCTGATCATAATATTCATAAGAGGAAAAAGCTGTTAGCGTAATCCCTGTGGGATTAAAATGTGAAACACGATGAAACTTCTTTTCTGGAATTCGACTATCACGGTCACTGATGGCCTGTGGAACTTCTCTGTTACAGTCTGTATTATGATGTATGCAGTCTCTAGAAACCACCACAAATCGTTACAGAGAAATTCAATAATTAATTAATTAACTAAATTAACTGATTAATTAATTTCTCTGTAACGATCTGTGTGTGGGGGGGGGGGGGCGGGGGCCAAATTTCTACTCTATATGCTTCAACACTATCTTGAGGGTGTAGGTGTGGGTGGGTGGCTGTGTGAGTGAAGGAAAGATCCACATCCACACCCTCAAGAACAATACAAACTTTGTATTGTTCTTCTTGACGGCATCGGTCAAACAGAAAAAATGAATCTATATATATATATATATATATATATATGTATCGACTTTTTTCTAAGATAAACGAAAAAGATAGATGAAGATAAATATGAAGCATTCATGTGTCGAGTGGAATGATTTACCCGATGAAATTCTTCTGATTATTTTTAAAAACCTGGACAATCTTGAAGTACTTTATTCTTTTGAAGGTGTTAATGAACGATTAAATAAAATTATACATGATCCAATATTTACACGTCATTTAAACTTTCTCAAATGGTCGTCCAATAAATTGATGAATAAATTCTCGTCTAATGTCATACATGATCGATTTTGTTTACAAATTTTACCTGAAATTTCTACGAAAATCAAATGGCTTGATCTTGAATCATCATCTATGAAATATATTCTACATGCTGCCGATTACCCTAATTTATTTGGACTCGGTGTATATAATATCGAGAAACAGACAGCTGGATATCTTTTTACCGGTAAGAAATCCTCAATAAAATTATTTAAAGTCTAAGTAAAAGAAAGGTTTATTGAGATTAAAATAAATTCTTTGATGAAATTATTAATATCATTGAATAATTCTTTAAATATATTAAATTTATTTGATTTCTATTTTATACTTGACTATGAAATTGTAAAAACAAAAAGAATCGTTTACACAAATGAATGTAATGAAAGAGAAAATAATATTTAAAAAATAATGATCATTATTTTTAGGAATTTATTATGTACTATATTTACTATTTACAGGAGAGAAATGGTGGGAAGAAGATATTATTTCAAAAAGAAAAAATTCCTCTCTCAAAGATTATCCTAAACTTTTGACTATTGATGTTGATCTTTGATTAGAATGAATATACGTATGCAAAGAGTTAATTAAATGTTGCTTAATACTATCTATGTGTTTAGATGAAAGGCTTTCATCTGGTATTTTTAAAAATCAAATTACAACACTTGTAATTGCAATTGATCCATATCGAAATGATCTGTCCACAATGGAAAAGTTATGCAATCATATATTTACTGTGTTTATTAATTTAACTCATTTAATATTTTATGAATCATCATATAAAAATACTGTTCGATTATTATTTGAGTTTCCATCTCCCAAGTTATATTCTTCAACTCTTCGAGTATTAAATATCAAGGTTCAAAGCTTTCATATATGTCTTTATCTTCTTGATGGTCGTTTCAATCAACTTCATACATTCTCTATTGAGTTGGCTAATATAAATCGTCCAGGCGAAGAAATTGAAAATCAAGTTAGTTCTACAAAGAGATTAATTTTCTTTTGGATTAATTTTTGTTTTTGTTTTTGTTTTTAGATAAAAATACCGAATCTTAAGTGTTTTTCTGTATCATGTGTTTTAGAGACGACATGTTATGATGAGTTAATTTTACCACTTCTTTATCGAATGTCAAATTTAGAAAAACTTGGTTTGTATCTTTCGATCTTTGTGAACGAAAGATTTATTGATGGAAATAATTTGAAGAAAAATATTCTTAATCGTATGTTACAATTAAATCAATTTAAATTTTATATTCATTCCCGTATGTTTATTAATAATGAAATGAATTTGCCGTCGAAACAAGACGTTCAACAGACTTTCGAAGATTTTAAAGATAATCAAATTATCTCTTATGTTGATTATTTTCTAGAACGAAAAAAAGGTCATTGCCATGTTTATTCGTGTCCGTTTCTAATGAAATATTATGAAGGTATAACAAATAATTTTCCAGGCGGTTTATATCCATATGTAAGTGTAGTATCCTTACATGATGAAAATCCTTTTGAACATGAATTTTTTATTCGAATTACTCAATCATTTCCATTTATGGAAAAATTAACTTTGATTAATCGTCATGCACAAAATCAAAAACAATCTTATAAATCAATGAATGATATTCAGAATTTATCAATTGCTAAATATTCTTATCTTACTGAACTTGATATTCGACAAGTTCATGATAATTATATCGAAGAATTCCTCTGTAACACGAAAACATATTTTCAAAATGATATTTTGCTTGAAGTCAACTTTAATTCATTAGAAAGAGTAACACATAATTTTGCAAGAGATGATACACGAATTAATTGTGCCAAAATAAATGAAATATATTTATTCAGCGACGTGAAATATTCGAAAACTTTACAAAATTATTTTCCTTTTGCAAAAATACATTGATTGTTATCATTTGTTATTTGTATAAAATAAAAGATTATATTGAAAGAAAAAGAATTAAAAAAGAGAAGAAAACAATGTCTATAAAGGAACCACTATGTTCATGTATGAGAAGATAAATTTATTTTATCGAATAGAAGTATTTGTATAATTCAAGACATTCATTTGTTAATAAAAAATTTGTTACTTTACACCAAGGGAAAAATTGATTTTTAGTGCTAGAAATCACGGTGAGTTTGTTCCTCCTTAATTTTATCCATATTTATTTATCAGTATCAGCATAGATAATAAGAAAAGGTGCTTCTTCAGAATCTGAAGAAGCACCGGTTCTTGGCTCTTCTCATTCAAATCATTGATTAAAAAAATATTTATTTTTGAAAATATGTTCAATCGAAAAACATAAAAGATAATTCAAATTTAATTATTGAATCACTTTTCGCTATTTTATTCAAGCTGTCACCCAATTCTAAATTATTATTCTGAACAATTCAGCCAAATATTTTTCTCTTTCATTTCTTTTTTTGCTTTTTGTTCAAATATGACACCAGTATTGTCTAACTCACCAATGAATAATATCTATCCTTCTTCGACGAGATAAACAACAATTGAACATTTGGTTCAATTAATCGGTCAACATTTTGTGCGTCCAATTAGTGCACATATAAATATAATCAGTGACATTCATTAAAACAGTCATGAAATAAAGATATTCGTACTGTCACATGTTATGTTCTGTAATATTATTAGTTTTTTTCAATATATTTCGAATTGTCTAAAATATAATCACTAATTTTATTATTGGTAAGTTTATTGCATCGATTTTCTCTCTTGTATTTCAATTGAATATCAGTAAGAATGACTTCAGCCTTAAAAACGATACGAAACAGATAAATTACTAAAAGATAGACAAGTTTTTGTTTTACTAAATTATTATGCACAACATCAACTATCTATTGAGTGTTTTATGTAATAGTTATGAATGATGTATCTTTATTAAAGAATAAATAAAAATATTCGTTCAACTGTGAAGAAATGAAAAATTTGAGTTTTTCATTCGAAAATGGTCTTATATGGTTACAATTCTTAGCATAATTAGATTATTTACGTAATGCAACTATGTAACAGTTGTTTTCTCCACGGTATTTTATATATTCTTCTATTCGTAAAAGTAGAAATGAAACAACTTCAAATTGAAATCTAATTCCTGAATTTGCACGTACTTCATGAAATTTGAAATACCACTTTTAAAATAATGAGGGGATGGGGTATGTTAATTCAACTTAGCTCAGGGTTAAAGTGGATTTTAAGTTGAAGTATGTAGTTGGTAGATTGAGTTTGAAGTGAAAATTCAGTAGTAATAGAACTTATAGGTAGAATTGAAATTGAGAGATTTTTATTTATGTCGATTAAAATCATGTTGATTAGCAACATGTTAAATGAAAATCTTAAAAGTCAAGAACAAAACGCAGAAGTTCCTCATTTTACAGAAAGTCTGTCGTTGTCGTGATTATATTCGAAGATACCTGCTATCATTATAATAAATTTGTACTCTATAAATCCATGAGTTTTCTCGAATTATTGCGTATTACAATTCTGAAGATTAAAATCCAATAAAAATTCATTGGAATATGCAGTCTCACGATGATATTGAACAATGCAGTTATGTTGAAAACAGAAAGTTAGTGATGCATTACCTCAGATCGATTGAACTTTGGAAAAATTGACTAAGTTCACATTTCACGAAAATAATGCTCTTAGATTTTAGTTTTGATGCTTAAAGATTTCATTATTTTTTTTTCTACCATTGCTGTTGTACTGAGAAGACTTTTGATTTCATTAAATATTTTCAGGAGAGTTACTAAGGTTTAATTGAAAAAGGAAATCTCAACTTTTATCTATGTTTTCATGAACAATTGATACATTTATTAAAAACAAGATTGTATGAGATCATCTTTTTGTTGATAATTTCTTCGCTTTGTTTTCTTCACCAAAATTATTCAATTAATGGAACGCTGTCTAGATTTTAGTAACTATCAACAAGAATATTGACAAAGTTTATTCAATTATTTTTTGAATATTTCATCAATTCAATATCTTCATAGTTTTAGACATTTGTTTGTTTTGCTTAATCGTTCACGTAATATTTCTTTTATGGATATTATGATAACAATATTTTAAAATTTACCAAATGAAATTCTTCTTCTAATATTTTCTAATTTATCTTCGGTAGAATTATTATTATCATCATTATGGTCTTTAAATAAACGATTAAATATTTTAATATGTTCTATTCTTTCAAGAACCGATAATCAATCTAATAGTGGTCTTGTTATCACAGAACCGGGTCTATCTTATAGGAAATGCGATTCAATATTATTTCCATTAATTTCTAATCCATTATTGCCACTTTCTTCTATTCGGCGTATTCATTTTGATGGAACAAATTCAAATGCTTGTGATTTAAGTTATGAATGGCTTTATGATAATGAAAAAAAAACAATTCATTTTCCAAATCTTAAATAACTTTATCTTGCTCGATGTTTATTGGTGGAACCTTTGGCTACATATTTACCTAAATTAATTAAATATCAATTTGATAAAGATTTTACCGAATTAATTGAAGATTCAATTAAATTGTGGGCAGCGAATTATCCAAAAAGTAATTAAAATAATTTAAAAATACAGTATAATAAGATTTCTATTATTATTTTCATTTTTATTAGAAAAATTATTGGTTATGTTTCAAGAATTCATACGTCAACTTTTTTCTGGTAAATGTCGATTAATTTCACTTCGAATTGGTCTTGTTTATGGTGATTTTGGCCTTTATCAATATTTCAAACTTAATCATTATCTCTCTTGTTCAATTACGGAGCAATATCGAGCTTCTCGTCATACTCTTCGTCGTTTACATATTCATCTTAATTATACATATTTTTTGGAATATCTTATTGAACATCTTCCTGTACCTGAAAACCTAAATGTTATTTTTTGTGATTCATTAGACGTTAGGCCAAGATCTATGTTAGACATTGAAAATTTGATAAAAACAAGTGGACATTGGTTTAATAAAGTACAAGGGTGTGGGTGTACATGGGAGCGCTTCTTAATCACACTGAGTCACAAACAATCGAATCCACACCCACACCCTTCAATTTTTTTGTATACACAAGTATAAAAATAATGAACAAGGACTTGATTGTCATATCAAGGAATGCATATTTAGTTGTATTTTGTTTAATACCTTTATACGATTCAATTAATGATATGTTGTTGTTCATACATACGTATTAATCGATGCGGCACTATTTGTTGTGAAACATAAGTGCAACACATCTTTGAAGAAAATCAAAAGGTTCTCCAGTTAGCATGGAGCGGTCACGCCGCTCAGTAAAAGGGCTTTAGGGCGGTGGCTACGTCCATCCAATTTTTTGGGTGTGTTGCACGTTTTTGAAACTGACTTTCTATTCCAGCATTACTTGCCGGAATAGAATGAATTTGTTGAACCACTTTCGATAGATGAAGTAATTCATCAGCATTTTATTTCCAAAATGAAAGAAAATAGGTTTTCATTTCAATATTCCTTGATATTCCAACGAATTGTTCACCCATTATAAACCTTATGAATGAAGAAGTTAGTGAACAAAATCTTGAAATTGTGCCATCATCTCATATTTCAAGTTGATTACTCTAGAAATTAATATTATGTGCCACCAGGCCACCAACTTTGGCCTGGTAGCTCTGGTATGAATCCTTTTTCTTTATCGGCTCGAATATATATTCCTCTAATGATTTTTCACGTAATGAATACTGTTTATCAACCATAAATTGACGAACACAAATTATACAAACTAAATCAGCTTGTTCTACACACGAATATGCCTAAAGAGCTCCATATTTCAAAAGAAAACACTTTGTCAATCATACAAGTTTTTGCGTATAATAAACAAGTAAAGCTAATATTTGTCCATCTTCTATTAATGAATTCAGCTTGACCTTTACTTGTTATATCTTCTTTGTATACACTGCTGGCATTATTACAAGAATGCATTAACTTGCTGAATCCTACATTAAAATTTCTTATCGAGTTTTAAATCAAGAAATTTCCATCTTGGAAATGATGATTCTAAACTTTAGATAAATTATAAGAGACAACAATTTTCTGCGCGATTTCAAAGAAAAATGATCAGATAACATCAGCCACTATTTTTAAATGAATTATACTGATTCTAATAATTGTCAGAAGTATTCGACATTTATTGTTTCTATTCTAATGATTTTGCTTTACATAAGCAAGTGTTCGAACAAGTCATTATAAAATCAATACAAAAAGAATGAACTAGTTGTTCATTAGAAGAAAAACATTCTTTTTTTTGTCATATATTTAATTGTTTTAAAACAAGTTATGTGTTAAAAATAAAAATTGAATTTCCTTTGTGTATTAGACCATTATAGAACGATTATTTATTCAATAAGTCTAGCAAATAAAATATGAGTAGTAATCAAGGGAGAAACAACAGACTGAGGGGTGGACAATATCCCCTAAAAGCGTGAAATGGTTCAATAATCAGCAGAAATACTTTACCCCTAACAAAGTCAAGAAGAAATCGATCAATAATCTCGAGGAAACAATTTATTTTTTTTCACTATAAGGGGATATCTCAAGGAAAAATGGATATTTTACAGTAGAGATGGTTTAGTTTCAAGCAGAAATATATGAGCGATATCTCCCAATTCCTGCAGAAGTCTTTGATAATTAAGGAGATATCGATAGGTATCTACAGGGCTGCTAGTACTTTCTCTCTCTCCCCTTATAACCTATAGGTAACTATCTTGGGAGATATTGTTTGTTTTTCAAACGAATGAATTTGCTTGAAATTGAAATTCCGCATTGTATGCGAAATGTATTCTGAGTGGTAGAAGCGGTTGATCTTTATAGGGAAAGTGTTCAACGATTTCTATTCCCGTGAGGTTACATTGCTTTTTACTTAGTAGAAACGGTAAGATTCTATACTTTTTTCACCGTTTCTTTTTGGTTGAAGCATTATATTTACGTTGTGATGAATCATCATCAGTAGAGTTGGTTCATCTGCATAGAGAAATTGTTTAGCGATTTTCATTCTCATAAGGTAACGTTTATCTTCATTAAGTAGAAATGGTATCATTCTCTGTTTTTTTTATGAATTCTCTTTTTTTTCTAAATTTTTTTCAAGATAAAATGGATCATGAGCAGTAGAATTGGTTGATGTTCAGTGAGAAACTATTGAATGATTTTTATTCAGATAAGGTGAAGGTCATGTTCAATGGGGGACAATCGGGATTCTGGTCCGTTGTATTGTGGAGTGTTTGATGCTATTATATTGTTATTGTTTTTGTGTGTGTGTTTGGTTCTGTCTGCGTCGGTTTCGTTTTGTAATTGGTTTTTCTTTTTGTGCCTGTCGTTCCATTTTGGCTAATAGCTTCGTCGCATGGTGCATGTTAGCGACTTGAAACTTCTTTTTACGGGGTTGTTGTTTAGCGGCTTGGGTTGACTGTGGCACACTGATTGTCGGTTGCTTATGTTAAAACGAAGAACCGCATTAAGTTGCTATGAATAGTTTCATCTTACCTCAAAGGAATAGTTTTGTGTTGCTGTCGTATGAGTATTTTTTACATTGGCTAATCGCTAAAGAGAAAATGGTGAAAAATATTGATGTCTTTGGTCAACCTACTTCGAGCTGAAGAACTTGTTGAGTATCTGCTGCGTGTGACAAACTTATATTATCAACCATTGGAATCGATGTAGCCTGAAATCTATGCTGTTTAATTTAAAATTGTCTCATTTCACTCACTATGTTGAATATATGGGTAGGTCGCACTTTAATTCGTTCCAGATTTTTATAATGAAACAACAACAGCAAGTAGATTGCCATCCTGCGCCAACCGAGGTTGCTCAGTATGTTCGCATAGCCTTTGATCCAAGAAAACAACTGCTCAGCGGCTTGTGTATTGGTACCATCTAGCACTGGTCGAATAAATAGAAACATTTTTCCTGAGAAGTTTAAAGTTTTACTTTTATTTTTATTTGGATTCATGTTAAGCCTACACCATCGTCCCACATGACCTCAAAAATGCGTTCGGTCGACACTAAACTTTGTTTCATGCAACATTGTTGATGCTGGCGTGTGTTTTAAATCTTGATCATAATGATTCCGAATGAATTCGACTAAATGACAGCCGTCGTCGTACACTCCGCATTTAGGAAAGTTGTAATCAGATGCTAAAATGAAATCAAAAGAATTTAGCTGTAAAGAGCAAGTTCTTGTACTATTTTCGTAACTAATTTGTTTTTTTCATATGAACCATATATGTCCATTTCTCAGAGTAAAGTTTAGAATAGTTTAGTTGAGAACGGCAAAATTTTTATTTCTTCTTTTGTCTTTTTATCTATAATACTATATGAATCTTGAGTATGGCCTCTCATTATAAATAAAACGTTATGATGGACATATTTTTCTAGATGCTCACTTCGAATTGTAGAACAGAGTAGACTTATGATTTCACGCAATGTTTCTGATCTGAAAATTTCTGAGAATGTGACGACAATTTTGCAATTGGTTACACCTGCAAATATACCAAACAATCTGCTGCATTTTTCAATATATTGTTCAGATTGCTCCTTCACTGTTCTGCAGTGCGTGGCACCAAATCCACGTTGTAGAAATCTTCGCATCATTTTTCTTTTGATCGTCTTTCGCTTCTTCTGTAAGACTGTCGTAGCATTCACTTCAGCTAAATTTTGGTGAATTTCACAGAAATGTGATCCTATGTTTGGTGTTCGGCAACAGCCAACGGTTAATGAAGCAAATTCTTGTGTTGCAACCTAAGCATTCTTTGCTCGACAAACTCGCCGACGGCACTTTTGATGACCATCAATTATGATACATTGGCTACAATTCGATTCACACGGTTTTATGATAGTTTTGTGGTTGCTCCACAGGTAAACGAAAGATGAAAGAAGACGCTCGTACTGATTCCAGATCCATAAATCGAATTCCTCGGCTGAACTGGGTATGGACACTGTTGATGTACCAATAGACAAATCAAATTCAACTATCTTGTATTTAATAAATGCCATCGCAAGTCTTTTTCTCCAGTCGATCTTCGTTTCAATCAAACTAGCGTTGAATGCACCCAGATTAAGTCCCTCAACAAACTTCTGCCATGAACTGGCACTGCTGATCAATTGACAAGTGTAATTTTCTATTAAAGCTCGTTCGAATGCATATTTACCACCCAAATAAATTGTATCATATTTTTGCAAACTTTCCGACGTAAATGTGATCATGTTTCTTTGTCGAAAAAAATTTGGGTAGACATAAGCTATCGGATGCATATAAAAGCATTTATTAGTATGTTTGCAGGATACGAAAAATACTTTGCCTATAGTTATAATTACTGTTATTTTAATGGATTTTCACAAGATATGTTCTGTTTACCTTTATATATTGCACCTTTTAGAGTATGCAATTGAACAGATATGACGTCTGTCATGTCAATATTGAGCATAGAAGAACAAACAGGACACGTAGATTGATATGGGTTTAAATGAAATGCTTGATCTAATTTAGTGAGAACCATGTCAACGGTTATAAAAGGAAAAAGCTGGATAGAATCAGAAGAACTGAAATATTTAATCACATATTGAATATCTGATTCTTTGTATTCGAAAGCAAATGTGTGTTGAAGAACAGCAGTCATATTTTGAATTCTGTTGGGATCGTATATAGACCAGCGCTTGTTTAATTCAATGAGAAAGTGAAGTTCATTAGGCTGAAATATACTATATAGTTCCATCAATAATTGAATATCGCGCGTCTGTGTTCGGCCAACATAATGAGACATATTGAACATCTAAATATAAATAAAAAGTTTTCTGCATATAACTTCTTCTCTGATGTTTATTAAAGGCTAAAATAAAAATTCTTCCAAATAAAATCTTTAAAATGTGTCTTTTAAAGTATTCCAAAAATCATTCATTTCAGCATCAGTAGCCACATATTCGACGAAATCAGGTTGGTATGAAATCCCTATAGGCCAGATACACGTTGTATTGTTAAGATGCGCTGCAGCTGGTAACTGAACTGGAAGTGAGTTGCTTCTTGTTTTTATATCAGAATTACTTTTTGTTGTGGAAGATTCTTCTGGCACAATAATATTAGAGAGTGATATCGGTTTTGGATCAATATCATTTGAAACTCCATCTTGCAATACTGAAAGCTCCTTTTCACAGCTTGGTGTTTGAATCTGCATTTTGAATTCAAAAATGTTGTTTTTAAAACCAGGTAAAACTAATAATTGATCTGAATCCGTATCAATGCTATGATTTGAACAAATAGATGATTGATCTCGAACATTCGAACTTGAGCTAGATGAGAGAGACATCGATTCCAAATTTAAAACATCGTTTAAAAACAACTGGTTCGATGCCAATTTCTTAGCCAATGGAGATTCTGATTCCGACTCATAGTCACGTATGCGTTTTTTAATCTATTGCGAAGAAATAAAATAAAAATAATTTCGTCAGCGAGTTAAACAAAATACTGCATGATTTCCAATATCGTCTTCCTCAGATGAAACACTTGGTAGTGATAAACCCATAGCACTGACCGTAGGACTTGCGGTATTGATCAACATGTCATCTATATTGTTTAGGCTCTTTCTGTCAGAAAGACTGCCTGAAATAAACAAAAAGTATTTACTTTCAGCTGATCTGAATTTTGTAGCCTGACTGCAATGACTTTGAAATCGACCACGTATGTTACTTTCCGCTTCACTCAGCCAACGCTTCATTTCTTCACTCTCGCTTTCTTCCAAGAAATTATCGTTCTGCAAAAACTTATTGAGTAGAACTTCATACTTCATCTTATGTGGAGAGTCAGACATGGTTTGTATATTTTTTTCAAAAAATGAAATTTTATTTATCTGTAACGAAAATTTATATAGATTTAGCCGTTTCCTACTTGAACTTAGGTAATGAAGTACAAATTTTCTAAATCAAAAATAATTAAGAGATCGTCGTTCGAATAAAATCTATAATAAATATACATATAAAAAGATCATTTAGAAAAAAAGTGAAGTAATACGAAGAAAATTGCATTACAAACTTTACGATCAACCATCGAGCATCATAGTTAGTAGGCCATGAATCGACATATGATGTTGAACATGAACAAGTATGATAAGTAATAAACTAAATCTATATAACTGGAAAAAAACGTTTTTAGAAAAATCAACGATCCAACATCACAGTTAATAGAATATAACTCGGCATATGATGTTAAACATGAATAAGTGCAATAACTAATAAACTAAATCTATATGAATGAAAAATATGTGTTTAAAATAAATCATTGAGCATTTTTACGTTAGAAAAATAATTCCTTGCCTAATGAGAATAATGACTAGTAATGTTATAATGGAATACATTGAAATTATTGCAATGTTAAGTTTTCATACGTTTTCTTTGTTTACTACGTAATCGTTTTGCTATTGTTTCAGAGAAATTATCATCTAAAGATTAATATTAATCAAGTGGGTAATTACAAGAAACACATTTACTTTGCAAGATTGTTGTGTGAAATGTTTCTTGGTCATGTTGCTCTTTTCGCTTCATTACTGGATTGTTGTTGGCCTTAATTAAGAAAGTGTTCATTTTATTACATAAAGGTTGTTTCAATATCTGTTTCAAAATGATTTTAGTTTAATTGATCACTCACCGCTACAGTTTCATCATAAATTATTTTTGGTTGTTGCTCAATTGTTTCTGGTTGTTGCTCGATTGTTTCTTCGCTAAGAACGACTAATTCAGAAGCACTGTAGTTACTTTGATCATCAGCTAAGTAAAATAATTTTATGTTATTTTAATTGAATTCTTAAAAAACAGCTCAAGAATACTTTCAGAAAAATTACCAATAAGATTGAAGATATTCAATTCATGATGTTGAATACTATTTTCATGTTCTAATTGACTGATCAAGCTATCATCTTCATTACTTAGAAAATTGATTTCACTATCAATGGACACATTTTCTTGTGTTGATGTAGAACAGGTACGACCTAAAGTAATGAAAATAAGGAATGTTTTTATGTATGATGACAAAAAAAGCGTTGATCTTACTAAGGTCGTTATGATTAGTTACATCAACAGCTCGTTGGGTAATAGACGAAAAATCGATTTTTAAAGACTGATAACGTTCCAGTTGAAGTATTTCAATCACATCTGGATCAATTAAACCAGCACTATCCAAGGAATTACTACTACACGAAGTCAAATAACTATTTAATGTGAGTCTTTCATCGTGAAAGCTTGCTAAACGAGCACTGAATGCTTCTTTTGATTCATTATCGGATAAAAGTATCATCTTGGCATATACAGTGGCTTTAATTTTGCGGCAAACAAGGCCACCAGGTATTGCAATAAGATATCCATCGCTGACGAGTGATTTTAAGAAGCTTGTTTCTAGGATGGAACTAGTCTTTTTTAAAGAGCTATTCGCATACAGACTACTTTTGATAAAAATTAATGAAGGATGAAGCAATATGGAAGCTTTATAGCTGTTAATCTTTTTCAACATATTTTTTTGTTTTCTTGTCAGTGCGCAATCAATATTGTTTTGATTTCTGACAAAAACTGCATTGCTATCAATTGATTTAACAACTTGAGTTTTTTCCTCAGGTACTTGAACGCGCATAGTCGATTTCATTTGCCGACCACTTTGTATGAACCAATTATTTTTATCTTCTTCCTGAATCTTCATCAGAGCCATATATTGCGCCAAATTTTGAAATGTTACATCATGGGCTCGCTTGCAAACATCATTATCGATTATCAACCGTCGTTCTTTCCGTATAATTTGGCCATATTTTCGTTCAGCAACTTTACTAGCACGTTGAAAGAAAGCTTAATCAGCTTGACCTGTACCAAACGTAATGTATTCTTGAATATATTCAGTTCCGATGTCAAAGGCTGCTTCAAGTAAGGCACAAAGTCCAGCAAATCGATATGTAAGCAAGGCGGTTTTGTTCAAGCGAGCTGAAATATTATCCTTGACGCCTTCTTGAGATCCTAGGAAAAAGAAAAATCTTTTTTTTTAATTTAATAAAATACTTAGTATTTATGGTTTCATCATCATCTGTCTACTTCGTATCGTGTTAGATAAATAGGATTGTTAAAATCTGAAGATGTCATAATTACCAGCTAATCGGAAGTTGGATGATTGTTCAGCTAAAATACCCTTTCCTTCTTCTTCTAGATCCAAATACAAATTGCTGAAGAAACCACATAAGATGCCAAATTGTTCCAGAGGAGGATAACTTGAAAAATCAATAGACGCTATGCAATTATGATTGGGAATAGGCTCACCATCCATTGGCCATAAAATAAATCGGTCAAAAAATGCATCAGCTGCCATGTCTGCTGCTTGTCTAGCTAATTCAGCCGCACTTATATCCCCAGTTGAAGCTCCCTAACAAAAAGATTGAAATAAGTTTTTTTTTCTAAATTTTCCTAACTACATACAAAAATATTGAGCTTCGAATCAGTTATATTAATGTTCTCCTTTTTTAAAACTCGTACAAAGTTCCCAGGCTTTTCGTGCAACGTCATTAGAGTTGAACGAAAAGAATCGATTCTAGTTGATGTTAAGTCGGTTGGAGAAGGCAGCAGTAGTCCCAACGATTTTAACGTTACATCTGCTTCATGCAAATTCATAGTACGTGTACAGCCCTTGAGATTGTTTAGAACACCTGCTGCAGTGCCATCATTAAATACAACTTTATCGTGTGTTCGCTTCAAGTTATGTTGACCTATAAAATTGTTTGTTGTTGTTGTCGCACAGGAGTTACGTCCATCATCAACCATGAGCTCATTTGTTATTTGATTTGATGGCTCGTCGAACAGATTTTCTGGAAAGTATGGAACTGTAGCCTCAGCTACAGTCTCTGCAAGATCCAAAATCGTCGATTTACTATAGCCGGAAAAGTAGTGAATATGAAATTTCGCTATGAAAATTTAAACGTCATTGCTAATTTCTAATAATCAAAGTAACAAGAAGTCTAGCAATCTAGAAATAAATTATATGCGAATACTGCTTGAAAATTACGATATTCTAACAATTAGTGCTTTTTCCTAAAATCATTAGTCCCAAGCTTTAATCAAATCTCAATGACAAAAACACAAATTATTTCTCAGATTTGAAAGCACTTGAAATTGATTTTTAATCTTTTGATCTTCTAAATAATAAATTTAAATGGAGCAGTCCTAAGGTGCGCGTAATTCAAAATTACAGCACTTATTATTCTTTACTTAAATATATATCAATAGATTCGGTGTTTCAAGCTGATCACGAATATCTACTTAATTTTTTTATTCGAGAAAATCTGCATGGAGAAAACGGCAAAAACCTGAGGGGGTGTAAAAATCAGCAAAAAAAATGCTTTTTGGGAAACAAAGTTTATTTTTTTCCTGTTCTACTTTCACTTCTCACCGATTTGATTTTCTAATTCCTCGTAGAAAAATGAGTCTAGATATGTTATTTAGCGCTTTATCAGATGTTGCATATTCAATTTGAAAAGACGAGCTTTCAATATGACTCTGATTTTTACTCGTTCATTTTGTAAATCTATCTAGTTTTTTTCTTTGAGAGATAGAGCTTTTATTCATACACCATTCGAAGCGCCATTCGACGAGCTACAAAAATATGGCTCGCTTTTTTTAATATCATTTTCCTATGTTGAGAAAATGTGTCTACAATGGTAGCATGAGAAAAATCGATCTAGTGATTTTTGAATAAAAAACAATTTTCTCATTCAAAACTCGTAGAAATACGGTTGAATAGGTAAAAAACGATTTAGAATTCAATGAAAATGGTTTCAATGCTTTTGGAGTGTAGTGAGTCGACTTTTGAAACTTCATTGAGCTATACTCCGTTAGAATTGAGATTTAGGTCCTCTTTTACACTTTTTATCTTCTTTTATTGGTATGCCAATACAAAAAATAGCTAAACACGAATAAGAACCTAAAAAATAGAATAGATAAATATTATAGTAATAGAAGAAATTAAGCATACACGAAGTTATATATATTAATTGTCAAGATTAGTGTTT